GAGTGCTACGGTTCCGTTGGAGCATCATGATCGCATAAGGGTCTTAGCTGGTTGATATATACTGTACCCGTGCGTGGGGGGAAATCAGGAACTCCGTTTGCCTCCAGGGACACCATTGCATCATCTCCGAAACTGGACCACAAAAAGAGCCGAAAACCCATTGTTGGTCATCTCACCTTGCTTCCCGCATTCAGGGTTGGCACATGATGAGGACGATGGAGTTTTCCAGATAACTGCAACAACCGCGAGTGCACGGCTACAAGGGCCATTCCCACGGCGGGGCTGACACTTGACACTAGTGTTGGTAGGACATAGCACAATGGGATCTATCGAGCTAAGGGGTTTCTTCAAGACGTCCCGGGGAAGGGGGTGGGGAGGATGATCCAAACTGTCAGATCGAAGTTTCTACACCACAACCGCCGTATACGCGTATACCCGACCCTATATGGGTAGGTTCACCGACATCAATGGGTTGGCCAGCTGCCCAGCCGTGAGGATCGAGTTCAGCCCCCCATTTCGCGTAGAACAAGTTTGGTATCATGACGACTGTGGTCACGGCGCCTGTGCGTGCCTACCATTGCGTTGTGGATGCCTTCCACGGGTGGTATGTCGAGACCGGTGACATCTCGTGGTTGATGTTACACTTGCTCTGTCAACACACGATTTGTTATGCTCTGTCTTCCGAGGACAGTCTCGCTGCCACTTCCCCCTGGGCCGTCTTGTGCCTATCACTTTGAACCGGATGATCATACTGGGCCGGAGACAAACCAATTCTGTTAGGGGTTTTCGGTGTCGAATTTTTACACTACAAGGCGAGGCTTCTTGACCTGCTTGATCAGCCTCGGCCGCCTCCTGACTTTTACGCAGTACGAACATGTATGGCATTGTCTCCCCTCGTTCTTCTTCTTGGCAGAAAGCTGAGCTGTAACCTCAACAGCTCCTTGGCCAGTCTCAGCACGGTCAAGCAATGAAGCACAGCCAAGAACTTGCCAGTCATTTATCTGGTCCAGGTAACTTTTGGACGATGGACAATTCCTTGGCGCCAGTCAATCTGGTCGATTTCGCTCAGCTGTGTCGCCTTCACACACGATACGCAGTAAGGAACCTGGTGACGATCTGGATGGCTTGTCTTGGTAATGTAAGGTACTGAGGCAGAATCCCGTCGCCAAGAGCTGGGCCTGCTTCATCTGAACGGCTGGTTATGGCTGTCGGCCTTCCTTCGTGTCACGATACCTCTACCTGTAAGACGCGGCAGTTGGCTGTTCTGGTTCAGCGACCCGATCATCCCTTTCGGCCCTTTCCTCGCCATCTCGTTCCATGGGTCACGAGCCCATGGGGATAGTCCAAACTTCTTTACCTACTACTCCTCCGAGAGGAGGCTCTTATCCACACAAGTTCTCTAGGGCATGGTATACTTTCTAAGCCAAGGTCACATTGGATGAACAATTCGGTTGAACTGCAAGATATCATCGTCTCTCCGTGTCTCGTGCTGCCCCCACATACAACAAAACGATCGAGATATGTGATGGGTAAAAGAATGGCTTATCGCTTACCACCAGCTTTTCTGCAGCAATCCCGAAGTTGTCATTACTCTCAGTGACTTAATGAACGGTCGAATTCATACGGTTCATAGCGACATAGTCCTTGAAGGGCAACAACGAATTGGTGTGACGGTGCTAGCACTCTCTAGCATACTTTGTGGCATGTGTTAAAAGCTCGCAAGCATTGACATTTCTGCTAATCCTCAACATCCTAGCTAGCCTTCACCGAGCCAGTTTCCGACCTCTTGTCACTGCGATATCCTTTGCACTCCATCATCGTTGTACGGCATCAATCATTGCCTCCTCAGACCCCTCGTTGTAGTGAGCTATCAACATATGGCTCAGTCCAGGCTACTTATGGCTTCTCAACTTAATTCAGGACTATCGATGCGAGATTAAGATAATCGCCGTCCCGGTACCGATGTCAACTGGTCCTATGAGGATTGGTCACCAATTCCGATCAGTCACCAGGCAACGGGATCCAGCCATGGCCGTGGTTGTCACTAATACAGCAGGTAGTGTCCCACGACATAAACTGAATGCAAGTGTGAAACTAGTTGCCAACCACAAGTTGGCGGCCTGTTACACTAAATGTCAAGCTGTCGGTTGGCTGCTTCTTACCTACCCTCCGCAACTCACACAACCCGACCATTTTGGGAGGCCCACAAGCTTCAATTCTTGAAGGAATATGCGAGTTCCTTCAACCATGCCAATGCAAGAAAGCCCATCCGACACATGTTCCCCCTTCCAGTGAAGGCTGTGCAAGAGGCGGTGTGTGGATGGCTACCGCCGCTCTGCCTATCCTGAACGACAGTCTGTCAGCTTTCCGAAACGCGAGGTGCCCATCAAGTGGCTACCTGTTAATATCAAACACAAGGGCAGTACAATATGTACTTTTATCGACCGTCTCGTCCACTTCCGCATGCCTTTAATGCCGACCTCCATCGTTATGTTGCTTCAGTAACATGTTTCCCGAACTCAAATCAAGGACACACTCATCTGCATTGGCATACCGAAATACGGGAACAGTAAGCTCTTAAAAGAGGCTTGCATTGAGAGGGTAACAAGTGGCTAAAAGTTGCGTGGTTCAACAGCCGTGGCACGCAGTACCGCAGGCGAAGTCATCCCTCGGAACTTCCACATCCAGGGCTCATAACCCTGCTGTCGAACTCCCCGGATTGCTCAACATGACAGCTTGATTGACAATACTCAAGTATCACATTTTTAACCTGACTTGACTGACAGGACGACTGGTGTATGAGGGAGACATGATACTAAGATATGTGAACAGCATTGTATTAGTTACAGGTGGGGAGATCAACAGTTCCACCACAGCATCAAACTTCACCCACATGGCAGTATTATGGCACTATCAGTCTTGCTTGACAACCTCAAAACCTTCTTTTTCTTCCTGAGCTTGTGGTCTTACGGGTTAAACGCGGGAGAAAGAGAAACCAAATCCCTCAGACGGCCATGGCCCAGGGCGGAGACGTAAGCATAACCAACCAACTGGAGAATGTAAGAAAGAGTTCACTTCCCTCCTCTTTCGGCTACCGCTCCCGGCGGTCAGGTAGGATGTAGGTACCGTGTTTGTATAATTTGTACTTAAGTACTATGTTAATACTCGCAGCTTGCAAACACAGGGTCACTGGTCTCGGCTCGGCTGTCAGGCTTCAGAAACACACTTTGAACCCCGGTCGGATCATGGTACGGAGCCATGACCCCTTGGTCTTAGTGAAGCGGATTGGAAAGTCCCGTTGCATTCTTGCAGTGGCATTCCCGGTCAGACTGGTTCAACCACGCTTTGCGCTTGGTGAGGAAACACGCGAGGTCAATTCTAGCCTTGGCAAGCTTGGCTGTGACGAACATGATCAAAGTTCTAACATTTTGTCTGATATGTTAAGACTCTCCAAAACGGAAGATTTCAAGCGCTTCGAGCAAGCTCAACTTTGTTACGTTTACACTACACAACCCTTTGTGGTGGGCACAAAGCAAGATGTGAGGGGGACGTGAAGGAAACTCTTTCCAAAGCTTCATTGTTCAAGGCTGTTGCCTACCGCGTGCTTGAGAGTTCTCAGTTACAAAAGAGAGTTCCATCAGTTGCTGCGATGGAAGTTGTTAGTCCAGACAAGGTTTGCGATAAAGGAGGCCATCGTCAATGTGCACAGACATTACCATGTGGGTTTAGGAACAAAGACGCACGGATAAGGGAGCCTCTTCGGAAACCTCAAATCAACACCGGTCATTCATAATTTTGGGTTCCAGCCCACGAAATGGATTAGCGGTTGAAAAATGACCGAAGAAACGTTGCTTTCTCTTGGCTCAGAAAACCATGTTACCATGTTGCCATGCTCCCATGACCGCCAAAGTGAAGCAGCTCCGATCGACCTTTTGCACGTGTATGCTTCCATGGTAGTGGCGAGGCGGATTATAAGGCAAGATCAATTGGATGACGGATGGGACCAAATCAGTATGACGATCCAATACCTGTGGGAATCAGGATTAGAGAAAAAAGAGAAAACTTAAGAGAATCGAAAATGTTTGAATATCAAATTTCTTTCTTTTTTTAAAAAAACATTCGCTTTTCGACAGGCTCACAAGTCGACCCCCCAGAAGCAGCCAAACGGACGACGATCTTCAAGACTTGGAAGACACCGACTAATAACGAAGCGGCGGACCTAAGTACCCTTTGCAATACCGGATATGATCGCTTCCTGGCGTCATCCAAGTCACCAAGGAGAGATGCGTGCTGTGGCCTGTCTAACTACCTCCCTGCCTCCTAAACGATACGGGTCATGACAGGCCGAGAGATGTGTCCCACGCTTGGCTTCAGTAAGGGAACCAGGATGATGGCGCCATACAACGGAGCCCTCTTCTGTCTCGGCTTCCACTTAGGCGCGTCCCAAGCAGCAGGCGCAAGACTTTTCAATCGCGGAAAGGAGCTGAACCGCGCAGACGTCCCTGATGTGCTGCCAATCCCTTTAACGGTGAAAATGTATCATTTTTGCCAAGATCCGGGGCTAGCCAATCGGATAGCCATATTTTATCCACCTTTACATTTGCACCCATGCAGATACCTCAATTTCGCCAGCTTTTGTAGCACCTTAGGTATGGAGACCAATCAACCAATAGGGTCCCCCTCCTCGCGCACAAAACGAAAACACGATTTTTTTCTTCAAACCTCGACACCACGGGCACAATCTCGTAATATTTGCATTCGACAATGAGATTATATACCTCTATCCTATACCTCAAAAGTCAATGTAGAATTATTGGTTTGGTTAGTAAAAAGGACACTTTTCTCATCGGCGATCTTTTGCATGGATCCACCTGCTAGCGTTGCTTGGCTGTGTCCAAAAGGTAACCAAGTACTGCAAGTCCTCTCAGGTCTTGGCAAAAATGATACATTTTCACCGTTAAAGGGATGGGCTGCCGCTGTTTGGTTCTTTTCAGTTGACGATGCTCTGTGACTTGCCCCTGGCTTTGCTGGTGTGGGCTAGGTAGGTAGGTAAGCATCGAGAGCTGGGGCATGCTGCTACTGCCGGGCCGGGCGGGCACACGAGCGGGTTCCAAACGGCGGAAACTCGGCGTTAGTGGACTGCGGGCGTCCTGTCGAGCTACCACTGTCATCGTCGTGAGGATAGTGGGCCATCCACGTCTCGCAACTCGTAGGCGAGTTTTTGGCTGGCTTCCACTCACTAACTGCCTGGGTATACTCCAGTACCTACAAGTCGGAAGAAATGGGTAACGGCTCCGCCTCGCCTTTTAGGTTTATCAAAAGAAGCTGGTAAACCGTCGTCCGGCGATTGGTTCTCCTTATCGCGGGCTTTCACGGCCTTATAGAAACGCTAATGGCTGGGGTATCGAGAGCCTATCTTGCCTTTCGACTTCCATCCTTTCTCCACTCATCACAGTCGCTACGCGCTTTCCTCCTTCTCTACATACAACCGGTTGCCTGCAAGTTGCAACTATATTTCACAATATCCGGCTATGTCGGCACGTTCGGTCCCACGTCATCCCCTTGCTACCACCTGCATTGGTAGTTGTTACGTACCGCCACGCCGGTTCCGGCTCTTAGGCGCAGGAAGGGGTACTGTAGAAAGTATCTCGGCTTCCGTGGTTGGGTAAATCACCAGACAGTGAGGTGAGAAGGTCGGCAGTAGTGTACTTGCTGAGGACAAGTGACACCAAAGGGTATCGGATTTTTTTAATTGTTCGACTACGGAAGGGCTCGGATGGCATTCGGCAGTACCACGGCGCTCTACACTACAACGTGTATGCGCACATCACGGCGACACCCCACACATATGTGTCCCGCCAACATCGACTGCCGCCGTCGTCGAGGCTGTCGTGCCTTGTGATACGCTGCCAAGCAAGTCCGAGGTGGATTTCACAATGCCGTGACGGTGCCACAGGTTGCAGATTGCATTGCAGACAGAGTCCGGTGGAGTTTAGGGGACCGAGAGGACCTACAACAATCCGGGGCTTCGGGATCTGGACGGCCACTTGTTCGAACCTCAATGAAAGGGATCAGCATCCGGCCATCCTACATCTCAAGGCTTCCAAGGCGGCTCCCCACGGGGCAATTGCTCGCCGGAGAATGTGAGTTCAACAGTCATCATAGGAACCCCTGTTTATGCAGCTCGTGTGATTCAGGCACCTTTGGAAGATGGCTCGAATTCATTGCAAAAGATGGGGTTTTGCGTCAAAGCGTGCCTTATTACATGACAAAACTGGGAATCCAGGCCGCGGAAATTTGGGGCATCTGATGGGGCTTGCAAAATGGGGTGTTTGCGGTATGTAACAAGGGTTCTTACGGTAGCGCTACATGAAGACGAGGATGGGGTCTCCGAGCCGACCCCGATGCCGTGCTCCGTCTCTGCCGCCCTGTAACTGAGTCCATTCAAGACATGCCGAGGCGAAAGACGAGAATTCCACGTTCGACATTTGTGTTGGTGTGCGTACACTACAGAACCCACTTTCTGCCGCACCCACGACATGACACCTATCCCATGTCAGAAGATGATTTCTATCGCTCTGCTAAAGATGAAGCCATCTGTACCTATTTTACGGCGGATAACAACACTGTCATGATCGACTCGAACAACTTATAGTGGAATAAATCAAAGTGTTTGTCTGTAATGACTAGAACACTCCTATGACGCAAAGGTCAACAAAGGCAGAGCAGATCAGCTCTACGGCACTGAAACGAACCCTATCCACAATCCAGGTACCCTGCATCGCAAACTGGTCTCGGTCGCAGTAAGAGCCTCCCAGAATGAAAGAGTTCTAACTGTTCAGCTCATTCGACCATATGTGCCAAGTTCGGCGCTTAGACATGAGACCTACAGATCGCTAGATTCGGAATTAACGGCCTTCTTTCAGATATTCTCTAGTGAGAACAAGCATCGTTTCGAGAAGCAATGGAACATGGTTCATGCTCGGAACCGGCCCCTACACACGTGGACTGGGTTCGTTTCAGACACCAACAACGTGGTATTGACCATGTATTCTAGCTAGCCTAGATAGCCGTACGCTGTGGTTTGTTATACGTGTCGACCGCTAGAGGCAAGTACTGAAGCTATCGTGACCAGCCATATTAGCAATATCCATGGCTTTCCATCAACGTCAGTAATCTGTGAAGGACAGACTGGCCCGTCAGCTGCTGAAGGGATTGTTTGAAAGCTTTTAGACCTAGATCGGTAGGTAGACCGCCAAATTCACGAGATCAAGGGATGTAATTTCAGTGGGTTTTGGGAGAATGGGTTCTGGTAAGAACAACGACCAGCAACTTGACGGCCACGATACCACGGGATGGAGACAGACCGACAAACACTTACGCAAAGCTACCCAACTTTGAGAGCAACGTTGGCGTCGGTAGGTGAAAATGGGCAGGATGAACAACCAAATAGATCGAAACCCAAAAAAAACCAGTCCGAACTATATCGTCATCGGGCCCTAGACTCGCTTACCTACGCTGTCAACTACCCCCCTTGATGGTGTTGTCAATCTTCATACCACCAAAGTGTAAGCTATACATAGTAGGATGATGGCGGAACTTCTGGAAAGCGAGTCAGACCATAGCTGTCTCTTCGTCTGCTTAGGTGAATGGATGAAGCGGTGTGTGCGTCTGTGTGGCTGTGCCTACGCCTAAGCCGACGATCAACCACACCACAAGTGTTGAGAGATCCAGGTACCGCGATTCTCCCGAGATTTACGGTCTGGATGTGGTTGATTCCAGTCTCTGGGTGATCACCAATGATCAACAATAAGAAAGCGGTGACGCCTTACTAAGTAGCTGAGGCACGAACAGATATGGTCAAATGAAGCGTATGGGTCAGGCGAGTATAGTTTGTGAGTTGGAACTGGGACAGAACCATCTGTTTGCCTTTGGGTGAATTCTGCATTGCGCTACCGTCTTTCTGACCGTCAAAGAATGAGAACTTCAAGTTTTTGACTCCCTAGGCGCCCTGGCATCATCAGGACATGGTAGGTTTCCGGGCTTGACCGCCAGAGCAAAAAGCTGCTTGGTCGGGCTTTCCAGAAAGAGGCCATATCAAGATAGAAAACGTTGCAGCATATGGGTAAGGTATGCATTTCGGTAGGATCTAACCTCTAAGACACTTGATCACTCGTCTCAGTGCAAACCAAAGAAGATGATCTGCTGTTCTTACCTAACGATTGCTTCACTCAAACGCTATACGAATCTCAACCGAGCTGGATAGTTCATGGCTGGTGATGGTACAGTTCGCTGGATTGTACATCAGCGACCCGGCTATCGTCCTCGATTCAGATGGGACTTGTAGGCTTAGACTTCCATCTATCTCAATGTGGTCCCCCAGAACAACGCTCTCAAGACGAAAGCTCTATCTGTCTTCTGCTCTGACCTCATCTATAGCAAATGAGTGGGCTGCTTTTCGTCTTCCTAGGGCGAATGGATATGAGTTCCCAAGTCTATCACAAATGAGTATGAACTTGTCGTTCATTCTATCAGTAAGGAAGCCACAGCCGTGTCAAGATACGGAGACACTTGGAGGTTCAAAGTTGTAGAGGTATGCATGTTGTGACTCGTCAGTATGGAGCCATTGCTGTGCAGGTCTGGTGATCCAAAACCCAAAACACTCATTGCTAAGAGTAAATTCAAGTCCTCCCCCGATGAACAAGGTCATCATGTCCACTCGAAAGGAAGGTAGCCGAAGTACAAGGATTGTGCACTTGGCAGGTATGGACATTTCTGTTGAGCCGCAGGAAATCACCTCGCCGGAAGGAAGTGTCTTGAGGCACTCTTTCCTTTCGAAAGGTAGGTACTTCCGAATAAGACTCTACGGTTGCAACTGAAACCGGGAGTTTCGAATCTGTGTCTCTAGTAGCCACAAACACTGCTACATCCAATCGACGGAAGTCACAACCAAAATCCCACCTTTGGAACAAACGTTGAGATTGGTGTATTATCATTATCTTGAACGCGTACAACCTCCTGTCGGCCATAAAGTACCTACCTGCCTTGCCCCAAGGGATTCAAAGCGAGCTCATGTATCACTGTGTTCCAGCCGTGCTCGTCCGGAACTAGATCAATGGTTAATCTCCCCCGTAGTTCTCTCGTTCTTATACTACCTACCTCTACAGCCAAAACTACTTCCAGGGATGACTCAGATAAGCAAATGCACCAAGCCATTTAAGTAGGGTATGTAAAGCGAAACCGCCATGACTGGTAAGATCGAGACAAGATGGATGGAGGCAATGGGTTTTGTCAAAGGGCATGAATCGAATGTGCGTCAGAAACCCTACTACCCGATCAGTCCTGTGTGTAACTGTAACGCTCGAGCCGGAACCTTTCTCGTGTGTGACGACAGACGATAGTCTTTCATGTCTCGGCCTTCCTCTTCATAATAGGTACTGAGGCGCAGATGAGAGCTAACCGCGAGAGCCTGGAGTTGCCCTTGCACTCGTTTCCCTTAAGCCATAGGGTACCCGCCATGACCTTTCTGCAGACAATACCTTGGGCCAGCATGACAGACATCCTCTCAATGCTGCCGCAAACTCGGGCATTGCAAAGCCCCTTACCCTGCCAGCTTGCCACAGTTAGCATGCGCAGCCCAGTCACAGCACACCTCAAAGACAGGTTTAATTTACCAACGTTCAGCTTTGCGGTCATACCTACTCTCTGTCTTGGTGCAACCACGAATACCACCTGCTTCTTTCCTCCGTTTCTCCTGCAGTTGGAGTGACGAACGGGTGTGGCAGCAAAAGAGATGGTAAGCGAAGTGGATATAAGGAAAAGAAATCAAGATTCACAGTAGCAGGGGCACTACTATTCTCCTTGAGAGCGAATATAGAGGATGTGTCGACATCCGAAGTCCCAGCCTTGCTCAAGAAAAACCGTGACGTACAACCGAACCAAACGCGCTATCTCTTCGTAGGCCGGGACCACGGTATACACAAAAGAAACCCTTAATAAGACCAGTTGAGCTAGGTACTGGTCCCAAGAGGATCCTGTCACATCGTCCTGGATTGACCGTTTATCGAGGGCGAGAGTTCGTCCTATGGTGTTCGTATTTCGTGAAGGAAGATACGGGGTGGACTATGCGGTAAAGTGGTGTGTGGTGGATGGTCTCATCCCTCCCGTGGCTGCGGAAACATCCAACGACAAGCAGGCGACAATGTCCTTGATCATTTCATCTTCACCCATATTCAGGGTGTCATTCCCCAGTCTTCTTCTACGCCGCGACAAGGTTCACTGGCTACCTGGCCTACTTATGCTCAATATGAATAAAGAACGATCTCTATCGTGTGAGGAGGAAATAGATCTGGAGCTGATCTTGCTGAATCAAAGATGGAGCGATGGTGACTGGCCAACTTACGGGTAAGATGACTCCCTCGCCACATCTTGTGCTGCTCTTTGTGGTACCTACTCATGTATTTCCGAAGCCCATCTTACATGAGCTCCTTCCTACAAGTCCAGGGGACAATGTCCCACATAGATGAAGTTTCCAGACACATGCTTTCGCAAGTCAAGTTGAGAACAAGACAGACTGTTCGTTCGCTTTGAGGAGAGTGACCTGAGGGTGAGTATCTTCTTTGAGGTTGTGCCGGGCTTGGTGGCAACAGTTGCCTGAGATCTGTGTGACGGCAGCTAAAGAACCAGTCGAGCTCTGTCGCGAAAAGCTGCCTACGATTATTAGCGAGATAGTTGGCGCGGAACCAGTTTGGAGACTAGGTGCGTGCAAGTCGACACGCTAATAGCATGGTCAGCACTCAACTGTGACAAGTAGCTTTGTTTTTGGCGAGTTAATGTCAACCTACCTCTACGTATGAAAGCATGCCTCTATGGTACGGTCTTGGGTCGTAGGATGTTACGAGTCATCACGGAGGAAATGGGTAAATTTCAGATCAAGAACTTACACCGAGTCTCAACCCTTGCATAGCGGCGATGTTTGACCCGAAAGACATACATACACAGTAAGGGTTCCGCCACCAAGATAAACGTTTCGGATGATCCAAGCGGGCCGTCGTGGCAACCTGTGATATTGCTCTTTCCCATTCCTCATCTGTCCACAACTACTGATTGTTATTTCTGGCATTCTTTTGTTGATTTCTGATAGAATTTCTTCGGACGACTGACAGCTGTGTCTCTGTTGACAGCAATAAGAAAAGTTGAGTGAGACACGGGCTTTGAGATGGGATTCTTGCTGATCTCAGACAGCATTTTCCAAGCGTGGCATTCTCTCCATCCAAACTGCCCCAATGCAAGGGATGGTGCCACAACATTGACGTTGAACGGTGTGTAGGTTGTGCAGGTAGGTAGGTAAGTAATCAAAATGGCGAAACGAAGCGCTTTGCCGCTCACCTTGGTGTTAATCATTAGCAGCTTGTGTGATACACAGCAATCATGAGCAAGGTTAGATCTGACGCCGTCTGACTGACTGACTGACTGACTGACTGACTGACTGACTGCCTTGTCTGGCGTCGGGTACGGTGCCCCCCGCCAGCTCACGCAAGCTCACTTTTGCATTACCATACCACGCCCTCGTTGCCCTGGGGGCAAGCCACGCTCCCTCTCTCCCATGGTTTGTTATCTTGATATAAGACTTGTGCCAGACCTTTTCCTGGGATTCTCTTGATTTCTCACTTTAGCAACCGGCACTGGCCACGCTAAGGTTCACTTCACTGGACCTGCTACTAACAGTATGTGCAACTATATACAAGTAAGTAAAGAGATTCCGGTTTACCCCCTGATATCGCGACGATGAGTATGCGCTGACAGTGAAATCCCACAGCGAGAATATTCCTGCGGTCACATCAGGTGGCTCGCCTCCAAACATTGCGCCGATTACAAAGAGAGACGCAGGAAATGCCAACCAAGCATAATGGCTTCGAGGAGAGGTATGATCTGCTGTCACGTACTCAGTCTTGACTCCTTACTGCCGGCGGTAGACCTCTGTTTTCATCGAGGAAGTGTTGGTAAGACGTCAATGGACATACGCTGATCTTGAGTGTCACAACAGACCACAGGCCGTGTGCGGAAACTGCAGACAACCAAGCGAGCAACCACCATTAATGACCGCCTTCATGAGAAAGCTTCTGCCAATGTCCTAGCCATGACAAGCGTTTTCTGTCACATCAACTGAGCAAACCTCAAAGGAGATTGGGGGCTCAGGGAAACTGCAGGCACAGCAGCGAGATGGTTGCCAATGGGATGCGATCATGCCAATACGGGGAAAGGATGCCAGCGCTTTGGGGTGACAGGAGTTTCAATTTTTTTCTTTTCTTTTCTTTCTTTGTTTTTTGCTTTTGATATGAGTTCCTTTTCCCTTTTCCATAAGTTGGCGTTTAGGGAGGGATGGAACACGATTTAGGGAAGACGGCTGGCAAAGATACCCAAATGCAACAAACGCCGAGATACCCGTACCCGACACAGGGTACACGACATTGGAGTCTTTGTTATAGGTTATACCGGGGAAACTTGTCTCTACGGTTTATACACTAAAGGAGACAAATGGGGAGAAGTAAAGGGGTGCATAACCGAAGCAACGCTATTGACACATACATATGCCCACTAGAGCGCGTGTATGGTTTCCGTACCCGGCAAATACCCAAGAAGAGGCCCAGTTTTATGCATAGTTCCCCATCCCATAACGGCACGCGTCGGAGACGGTATGTGATGGGATGTGAAGCAATACTTTTGCTGCATCCCATGACATCCAGAAATGACAACTGCCATAATCGACCCCCACAGGATAGGCGTCGGGCCGCTGAGCGTGCAGGAAATACATATCAATCAGACAAATAGCATTTTGTTATTGCCGTCCAGCGCTTTGCACTCTGGAGAGGAGAGTTAAACCGCGCGATGACGAACCCCAACACCCGCGAAAATCATGGACCGCGAGGGAAGCCCAGGAACCTCGCGGGACTCGGGATTGTCAGGGTCCTGGACCCCCGATGACCATCGAACCCTGGGAGGATGGCAATGTGAATTCGGGGTAGCGCGTACCGGAGATTGTTCCCCGCAGACCCCGGCCGGTCATCACTCTCCTTACGCGACAGATTCTCGGTGCTTAGATGGTAAATCACGAGGGAAGCGGTGTATGTGTGCCGAATCGGACATGGCCGGCGAAGGAAAGTCAGTCGTTGTCAATGAAATGAAGACTGTGTGTGTAGATGAATGTCTGGGAAGATCACCACATCAGTCCAAAGGTACTACGTCGGTTTATAGATACAACCATGATTTTATCACTGCCCGATTGGAAAATCCGGGGTCCCCACACTGGGCGGGAAAGGACGAGGGGTGTGGAAAGTACATGGAACGACGGTTCGGTTCCAGGATGGCGACATAGGGTAAAAGGCCCTTTTCTCGGTTCCTTCTGGATAGAATTCTAGCGCAACGTCGCAGTGGAGAGACGGATTGCCATTCCTTGGGGGAAGCGTTTGGGGAAATCAATCATGTGCGCCTCTCGACGCCGCATTGAGTTGGGGGTCGGGTTTCCCCGTTTCCAACGTGCGAGCGAGGCTGCGGGGCTGTCCTTAGGCAATGTTCTGTAGCACGAGCTGACGGACAGTGAGAGGGACACGCCATGTGCGCGACGAGGGTTACACACAGTCCCATTGGTTCCATGATAGGGCCCCTTGTCAAGTAAACCAATCGGGTCAGCCATTCAGCACATTCTCGTCCAGAATGAGTAAGAAAATCCAAGAAGGGGTCATGGGAGATGATATTTGGAGTGTTTTGCGCGTTCGGCACGCGGCCCGTTCCCCGTCTTTGATACTTGGCAAAAGGGGGGAAGCGGCTTGGGCGCCATTTTGCCAGTAAACGGGCGTCGGATAGGCTCAGCCGACGACGACGAGAGCGGTTGAGCCCTAAGCGACTGGCGGAACTGCGATGCCGTCTGCTGGGGAGCTGGAGAAGGACGCTCAGGACACAGGGTACGGTAGGCACGAAACTCGATTCGCACGGGTTCGGACTCGCCCAAGGCCTCGTTCGTTTGCGAGCTTCCGGCTTGTGATACAGGAGCTCGCGCTGTCAGAGGAGAGGATGCGGCCACGACGATCGAATTTGTCGATGAATCAACACGCGCTGGGTGTTGGGCCAAGAACAGAACACCAAGCGGTGAGTTGAACTGGGCTGTGGCAGCGAATGTGGATTTGCATGGAAGCACGTCGACAGGCCGAGCTGGTGGGGGACGCTGAGTCGTGTAAACCTGTGGTTCATACTGCGTTTGGATGACTTGCTGCTTGCGTCCGGGTGCTCGAAACGCTGGACTGCGAGTGCTACAGACATCCATGATATGAATGAATAAATGAATGAATGAATGTATTTTTCGACTACGTTCTATCACCGAAAAATAATAAGTCGTGCCTACGACGGCGGTGTGGCAATAGTACAAAAAGCGGGAAAAAAGCCTTATAGGGAGGACGGTCGAACCTTATCCTATCTATATATTAGAAAAACCCTTATATATCCTATTTTAATTAGACTATTTACTCTAAGCCTCCTAACCCTAGTAGTACGTATATTTCTTTGAAGGGAATAGGTACATCGTTTGGGTTAAGTATTTCTATTCTAATTACTCTTACTCTTCTATAACCTTGTCCTCCTCCTATTATTTAAATCCTTATATATTTTTAATCTTTTAAGGTTTTTATTCTCGTAATAAATATAGTATAACTAGTATTAAATGTTTATAGGGTATTTACCGCTATATTAGGGTTATAGTAGGTAACGATTAAGTAGGTAAAAAAGTGATTTTTTTTTATAGGGCGCTATATATATAATATTTAAACGTTTCTTAGGGGTAATAGAACCGTTCGTAATATAAATAGAAGTTCTAATACTTTATTCTTTTATTAATCTATTAAGTAAAGTACGGCCGGAGGAATATAAGGTAGGGGTTATATTTATATTAAAGAAAGTCCGTTAAGTACTTTAATTTATTTATAATTTAATAGAATTTTAGGTTAATTTCTAATAATAGAATTTATCTCCCCTTTATTTTAGGCGGAGGGGCTACTCTAAATATAAATTATTATTATAAGGCGGGGAAGCGGGGGAAATAGAATTTATTAGAGGGTTCTTTAGGGGGTACCTATAAATCCGCGAAGGAATATAATTATAATTATCTTTAGGGGGGGTTACACTTAAAATATTAAATAAAGAGGTAATTACCTAGTAGGGTATATAGGCGGGTTATAGCTTTAATTACTTTTCGTCCTAGGATTTCTATTAGTATAATATTAAATAGTTAAAAGGGGATTTATTTAGGGATAGTATATTAAATAAGTATTATTTTACAAAGGGTTTTAGAAGCGGTTATTTTTAATTTGTAGAGTACGAACGAAATATTAGTAAATATTAGTATTTTTCTAATCCCTAGTTTATAGAAATTTAAGAAGAGAATAATTATATTATAAATAAAGGTAGAAAAGAAGTATATAACAAAAATATATTTCGAGGAGTTGGGCAATAGGTTATAGGAGATTTAATTAATTTGGGCCGCGAAGTTAGTAATTACTATTATTTTAGGGACCCTCTTATAAATTTAGGTAATTAGGGATAGTTTTATATTTAAATAGATATTAAATTATTTTATTTCTTTTTACTGGTAGATTTAATTTATTAGAGTATTAATAATAATATAAGTAGGGTTATACTAAATTTTCTTTATATTTTTACCTTTAGGTAGAAAGTAAAGGGCTTCCGTTTTTCTATAATCAATTTTAAAATTTAAAACTACTATATATTTATATAAATTAATAGCCCAGTAAATTATTATATAGAAAATCTATATTATATTTCTACCGATTATAAAATAGGCGATAGTATTTATATAAGAGAAGGTAAGCCTTTATATTCTTTTAAAGAGTAATATAATAAAAAGGAAAAAGAATATAAATGACTATAGTAACCCCTATAGAAGGTTATTATTAATACGGAACCTACTATTTATTTATTGGAAAATAAAGTTCCTATCCGTATAAAAGTTACAAATAAAATTAGTAAGGGTTGGGGGCTATCCCTAGCCCTTAAGGATTTTAATAAGTTTATTTACTTTAATAAATAGGAAAATTGAATTAATATCGAAGGTAAAGATTATATTGTACTAACTAAAATAGTTAGCCTTTTTTATATTGTAAACGAATATAATAATTAGGTTTATAACCGATTATATTAGGAAGGCCCCTATAGAGTCCTTTAAAATAAAGTTTATATTAAGGGTTATTACTATTATCCTACGGGCTATAAATTTTTTAATACTTTTACTAATAATAAAAAGGAGGGCTATAGGTCGCTAGCCTTTATAATTATACGGGTCTTAGCTAAGTTTAAAGAGGGTAATAACCTTTACCCTTTTAAATAGGGCTAAGAATTTATTTAAATAGAAGGAAATTTATATAATTACCTTAAAATAAAGGAAGATTATATTTTATATAACTTTTAGGGTATTAAGGGTAATTCTATCTGGGCCCGGAGTATTAAACCTATAATATAGGAAAGCTTCTTAAAATTTCTTATTTAATAATAGTTCTAAGGCTTGTACAATAATATTTAAAGGGAGGGTATTACCTTTATAATTATATAGGGGAAGGGCGTCTTTATTTAAAGGGTAGAAGGCTACGTACGTTAAATACATTATAATTTCTTCTAGGTAGGTAAATTTTCGTTCCAGTATATTAATTAATATAAGTCGGTTATTTAATAGGTTATTCCTCTATTTTAAGATACCGTTTAAATCCTTAGGGGATTTAATATTATTAATCCTATTCTTATAAAAGGATATACAAGTTTTTTTATAAACTTTATAGTATATTATTAAATTAGTCTTTTTTATTTCAATTAAGGAAGGGTTTTATTATAGTATATTCTTAAACTATCCCCCAATTGGGATAGAATATTCTCTAATTATACTTTTGAAGGTATTTATAAATATTTAAACGAATTTATTGAATTTTATTATTATAGAAGGGATTAGGGGTTATTATAAAAATTATTTAATAAGTATTAAAATAGTATTATTTATTTATTCTGGAGATAAAAAATATTTTTAGGGGGGTAGGGTAATTCTAATAGTAGGAATAGTAATAATAAATTTCCTATAATCTAATACTTATACCCTAATTTTTATATATATTTTATTTATATTAAACGCTAAGTCTATAGTAAATTCGCTTTAAATATACTTATAAATAGGTATACCCAGGGTATTAAGGAAGTAGAGGCCGAATATAACTATAAAGTTATCGATTTTAGTACCGTAGGGAGAATTATAGAAGTAGGGGTTTTATATATAATAATATATATTAAAGTCTCTAATAATAAATAAATAGAGTATTAGGGCTTTTAGTAGGTATATTCTAATTAGTTTTATTTATTTATCTTATAAGTATTAATATACATTAGTAATATCGGTATTTTAGACTAAAATAATAGTAATATATATTAGAGGGGTAATAGTAATTATAAATTTATATATTTTTATAATATAAGTCGCTATACGTATATTACAGTTATTAAGCCTAATAAATTAAAAACCGGGGTATTTATAGAGTCGGCCTTAAATAACCGGGGATTTTTAGATACAAATTACCAGAATCTAGTTATTAATTACCTATTCGAGTATACCGTTAATATTTACTAAGGACTTTTAAATATTAACGGATATAACCCTAAATTTCTCTATTATAAGGTAAAGGTAGGGGGGGATATAAATTACTCTTTAGCGTCCTTATTATCTATATAGGGTTAAAGTAATTGGGGGGGGGGTCTAAGGGTAATTAATAACTATTAGGAAGCGCCTTCTAAGGAAATTACCCTAAATTTCGGTTAAGGTCCTATTACTATTAGAGGAGCCTCTACCCGTAGAGAGCGCTCTAATATAAAGGGTAGGAGGAGGTTGGTTAAAAGAGAAGAAGGTATTGCGGCCCTCTGTACTTAATAGGCCGAAGCGCCGCCTATTAATCTCCTTCTATACTACTACCTTAGCGTATACTATCTTCAGGCTGAGAGATAGGGCCGGTGCGGGTATAGTTGCGGACGGAGGAGGGGTACTAGGGCGGGGGGACGGTTGGGTTAGAGTCGGTTGGGGAGGTGGGGTAGCTATAACCGGGGTAGGGCCGGGTTCGGGGGCGTTAGTAGGGGGTGAGTCCTTGAGGGAGGTATTACCGTCTTCGTCGATTGCGATGGCCTCCTGGATTGCGGCGTTTGCGTCCGCTTCCCTCGCCTTTTTGAGTCCGCGAGTGGCCGCCTTGTGAGACGGCAAGCTGAAGGCCGCATGCATGTCCTGACACCTCTTTCCACCACCGAACCAGAGCCCGGGAAGCCTTTGAGCGACCTCCGCTTCCACTGGCCCGTCAGTTATCCCGTCCCGTACAGCCAAAAAAAAGACGACTATTCACTTGTTGACGCCAGTCGTTACTTTAGGTGTTAGCTGGCCTACATCTGGGGCTGTCGCGATATGAGTGTAGACCAATGCCGAGGCCTCGGTTACTGGTCATGACTGCCAGCTCATCCATGCAAATCCATGCCGAGTTCCATACGAACGAAGCAGGTACGGATTTGGAAAAAAAGGGACGAATTGGGGATGGGAGAATACCCGATGTTTTACACACGTTTCTGCCACTGCCGCAGCATGCAGTAGGCGGGCAGACGCAGCCGACGTATCTGAAATTCAAGGTATCGGCCATGCCCTGGAGCCACTTGGACCCTTACATTACCAAGTCCGCCCCCCCTCCTCCAAATACTCGTGCTACACCCCCACTACCTAAGTGGGTGCTCACGACTAATACGGCCACACCAGTAAAACGGCCACTAGGGTTAGAGGTGCAAATCACAGAAACAACACCAAAATAGTGAACGCTCACAACGTATTGCAACAACTAATTGAGAATAAACAAAAAGTAGGAGGATGGTTATAGCAATACAATATATTCATCTATCTCTTTATTATTCAAAAAATTCTATACGTTGGAAAGTTTTTGTTTACTCCGCAAATCAAGCCTCAAAACTACACCTCTAACCCTAACCTGACCGTTTTACTGGTGTGGCCGTAGTACCCGTGAGCACCCACTTTAGGGGGTGCGAGTCTGGCGAGGTCCAAAAAAGTGGGGGCGGGGGACGAGTAAGGGAAGAAGAAGAACCAAAAAAGAAAGTGTGAAAAAAAAAAAAAAAAAAAAAAAAAAAAAAGGGACACGGCCCCGATTTTTTTTGGTGATTCAAACTGTCGCTGTCCATGGGCAGCGTCCAGTGTCGAAGCGTCGTTCTGCTCGGTTGAATGAATGAATACTGCGGGCCAGGAAAGATTCGGAACTGAAGGCAGGAGCAGGCCCCATCCCCAGTCTGGTAATTCGAGCCACATGGGCACATGACATGCAAAAAAAAAAAAAGTCGGCCCATGAGACTCGCATCCACTGGGCCTGCTAAGGCTCGCACCAGCGGTCAGCAACCCCAAAAATCTCCGACTTTCTTCTTCGACGGGTTGGGCCCCCGGGGGCAAGCTAATGTAGAACCGGCTAGGGATCATGGGATTTTGAGGCCCGACTTGCCAATCGTGGGGAAGTGACGGCAAAAAGGGCCATAAGGGCGACTGTCAAACATATGTATCTACTACGCAGTACATGTGGATGCCCATGAATCCTTGTGCGAGTTGCCGTCTGCTAGAGACCGCGTGCCCTCCAAATTCCGTCCCAACCACGGATACCAGACACGATCACAAAGTAAAGACATATAGGTTGAAAGGAAATGTCGTGAGTGACAAGACGGCCCAGGAACCAGCACTCAGGCATCACGGGCGACGGAATGATGAAGGACGACGGGACCTAATGGAGGGTACCTCTCGTAGCGGAATGTACACTACAAAAGCAAGCTCATGGTCAACTAAAAAGGGGAAAATGCGCACTTGCAGGCCCACTTGAACCTGCTGTAGATACTCTCTGATTGGTCGCCCCGTTTGAATGGTTCTATGAGCCCCGGCGTGCCTGCCATTATGCGGGTTCGTGGTTGCGTCACAGCGAACGTGAGTGGAAGCCCAGCGTCCGGGTGGAAAGGGGCCCAATGTTACGCGCCCATAGCGCACTCCCACTCAGTCGAACCCACTGCAGGGCACAGTACGCAGAGGTACACCGTGAATTCACTGTTCAGGTGCCGACCAAGGGATGCTCACCTACCTAGGGTATTGCTTCCACCCGTCCAGCTGGCACCATTATACCACGACCACCCTCACCCTCTTCATCAAAGTCTCGGTCTCTCTCCCTCTTCGTTGCTTTCAACTTTCTGTCTCGTCGCTTTCCGTCCTTGTCTCCGACTTACCCTCTCCATCTCCAGTCGAAACTTGATACGGGCCATTACCATCGACGTGTCCAAGCCAAAGCGTTCTCCCAGACTGTCATCCCATCGACAGCCGTCGCTGCCATCTTACACCGCACCCAGTACCGCGCCTAAGGTGCCAAAGTGGAACTTGGAACATCCCCTCGGATCCGCTCTTCAAAGTCCCTCAGACTTGGGTCACGCTACGAGATTATTCGGACCTGCAGAACATCAAAACCCTCCAAGGCACCCATCCATTACCTTCGTTGTTTCCCGCAAGGTCACGGTCCTCAAACGAACATCATCTACCAACACTATTCGCAAGCAGCACTGGCGAAGACCATCCACTACACCACAGCTCTTACAACGAACGACATACGCAGAGAAGTTTTCATTTTGCAGCTAGACCCCTGATTTTACAGCCGTCCACTACATACATTGGCCAGGACCAGGGTACAAAGAAAAAGTCGAAAAAAAATCTGCGGTGGTCTCGGTGTGGCATGACGGATGACATCAATACACTAAGACCACGAACCACGCAAACCTTGGGCGCCAGGATACCTACTCGGCAACCGTCTTCCTTGCTGTTCCTCCTCGCTCGAACCCCTTAACAACCTAGCTCATCACTTCCCACCATGTCTTCCTATACCATGACCAGGATGGGCTCCGACTCGTTCCTGCCTTCGGGTTCTATCGACACCAGCATGCGCTTTCCTCTTCCTAGTCTGGGCGCCGACTCTTCTTCGCTCATCTCTCCCCTCGCGTTGCCTCGAGGTGCCGCCGGCTACTTCGATGTTGCCTCAGCTATGGGCAATCCCGCTTTGCAGGCGCCATCCAAGCTTTCTCTTCCGGGACGCCACGTTTACTCACCACTATCTCCCAACTTTCGTGGTCCTGTCGCCGGCCACATGTCGCAGTTCACGTCACCCAACCTAGCACCCATTCAACAAGGACTCCAGTGTCAGCTTGACCCACAACGATCTACCAGCGTTCCTCCCAATCTGCGAAGATCCAAGACCGGCCAGGCTACAAAAGCCAAGCTCTCGATCCTCTCCCCGCCACTAACAACATCAATGGATGGCTTGAGTGCTTCCCCTGGTGATGCCTTTTTAGGTGTTTCGGTGCCGGCTATCAGCTCTGTCTCTGCCGGACAGGCCCGCTCAGCTTCGGCGGACACTGTGAATGCACCCTCGAACACACAGATGGTCCGGCGCCTAGTCCAACAAAATGGCAGGATAAGAGAAGCTTGGGAAGCGGAGCGCAAGTACTTGGAAGCAAACAGGGAGCGCGCTGAAGAAGTGTATAAGGAGGAGCGGGCCCTCATGGAGGAGGAGAGGGCAGAATGGGAAGCTGAGAAGGCCATGCTGCTACAGGAGATCGAACGACTCCAGCGACAGGTGGCTCATCTAGGAGGACAGTCTAGCAATGCGAACCTTGCAGCCTTGGCGGCTGCTCATGCATCCCATAATGGAAGGATTGGCAACGTCTGCTGGGGCGAGGTTTCGCCCGAGAGCATGAGGAGCTCGCGGTCTTCTCAAGGAAGCACGCAACATACGAACACTCAGCAACCGGAACAACCCATTCAGACTGCTTCTGTCAACGAAATTCCCGGACCTCAGGGTCCCGTAGTGGCCGATTCCATGGCCCAGTCTCCCGAGCTGCGTCCAAGCAGTCCCGCGCCTATTGTCGATGTCCAGGCAATCCACCCAGAGCTCGAAGGAATCCCAATCAAAGCCAACTCGGTTCAGAAATCGACATTCACAGACGATTCCCTAGTAGAAGCGCTCAAGTCCCCGACCAAGATTCCGTCACCACTCCCGGCCTCCGATGTGCCAGAGCCCAGATCGGAAAGCCCGGCAAAGGAGCAAACCAAGCAAGTCCTTAAGGCAGAAGCGTCGGTTCGTCTCACCATGCATGCTGGCCATACTCCCAGCCACTCCCTCTCTGTCCTGGCAACCGCAACGTCTTCTGGAGTTGGCACCATCAATAGCAGTGGTAGCAGCACACCCACCTTGCAGCACGGCGACCATATGGCCACTCAGACGCTTGGGGTCATAAACGAACAAGAAGGCGCTATCCAACTGGCTGAGCAGGAGTCGGTAGTCTCTGAAGATCCTCCTGCGGCTTATGAGCCTGTGGAGGATCGTCCTCTCAGAGGTCCGCTGATGGTTAGGAACATGCCTGCCCATGACGAGATCTTCTTCCGGAGGCTTTCCGATAAGCTCGAAGAGGTCAGCAAGGACACTATGGCAGCCCTTCCTTCTGTTCTGAAGGATGCTATTGATGATGACGACGAGGCGGTGCCGTCAAACGCGGCGGAGAATCAGTCTGGCGAATCGAGCAAAGGGAAAGAGAACAGCAGCGGCTCCAAGAGCGAGGATGAAGCGGAATTGGATATCCCTCTCAAGTTGAGGCGTAACAACAACTTTGGCGCTCCCTTTGGCGAGTTCAAGTTTTGAGGACTGACATCCATGACAGTTGGTCGGACTTGTTACCACCAACTCGCCACTTGGCAACATTTCTTCCTGTATCTATCTACACACAGTACCGTTGGGTATTCTGTGCGTTTTTGTTTTTCTTTGGTATTCTTTTGTGGGTGTTTTTGCTTACATGGCGTTGGAGGTGTCTACACCGGGACTTGCCCATATCATTATACCCCCTTGACGTCGTTGGACGAAACGAGTTCATTTGATTTACTTTCTCCTATTTGGATACACACATGCAACATGATGCATATGAGGAACAGAACAATGATAGACTGGCAATCCGTATTTTTTGGCATTAATGCGGGAGTTGAACTCCGTACGAAGAAAGCCTCGATCGATTCGGGCATTATAGAATGGTACATAATAGGGGAGCATGATAAATGGGAAGATTGATACCAGCCGTGCATCAGGCAGGATATGAAACGAGGCGGGGACGAGGCAGCATTGGCAAGCAGTCTGATGGCTTTTTTCTTTCACTTACATTCACCGAGGAAGCGCCGCCGTACATATGTACCACGCCCTTTTCTTGCTTACATCTACATAGTATGGTTTCCAACACTTTCCCTCACTCGCTAGGCCAGCGTGAGGCCAATCAAAGGATATCAATAGACCTGATACATAGAGAGCAACTCGAATAATTTGTACAGTGTTAGTAATGATCAAATCATAGGTAGTAAGCATCGAAGCGAAGCAGAGTTGGACAGCCCACAGCCCACAACAACAAGTACACTACATACTTCGTGTGTGTGGAGATTCTGGATTTCTGGAATGGGAAAGCTTTCAGGAGAAGCAGACTGCAGAAGAAAAAAGAAAGAAAACATCCAAGTGGGGCTGAACACGTCCAATGGAAGCTTTTTGGCAGCACTGGATCCGCCTTCTCTCGGCTCGGGCCGATTGGACTGGCACAGTGGTCAGAGAGGCTGGTAAGCTGATCGGACTGTAACCTCCCTGAGGGGGGCCTGCCTCGAGGGGGGGGATTGATTGATTGACGACAGCAGTCTGACAGCATGATGTATCAGGCTCTGCCGACTGACGACAGTACAGTACACTAGGCAGGTGGCAGGTGGCAGGATGGCGAGGACGGTACGGTGTCTCCTACACTATACGAGACGAAAAGTCGCCCAAGTATGAAAGGGACTGTGAGGACAGTTGCCGTGGTACAGGCAAACACTCATAGAAATCTGGACGGAATAGGGAACAAACTCCTGCTATGAAGATATTATTGGCGTGATGAAACGATGGGGTCACCATAGAGAGGTAAAGCAAGCATTGATCGTTTTGCCATGTCTGTCTGGAGCAGAAGGTGTACAGTAGAGCCCGCATTCATTGGCATGATAATTGTACCCGTTAAGTTGTTGGGATCCAAGTACCGACGTTGACTGGACTCTCTCTCTCCGTCTCTCCGAAGATTGCTGGTTGCTTTGGCGAACTTGTTGAGTACATAAGCCCCCTCCCCCTAGAGACAAGATTACACACAGCCTAGTGTACTATCGGCTCATGAAAAGACACTTACGTACGTGTTTGTCAGATTACCGTAGCTGATCGCTATACCAATCGTATTATGCATTTCTCAAAGGTCTCATTACGTGTTAGAAGGGCCTCCAGAATCAGTGTAGGTATACCCATAAAATTCATTATCGCTGAAGAATTGTGCCGTCGTAGGTGTTCGATACCTCCCTTCATTGCCCCCCCCCAAAAAATCGCCACAAGACATGCTCTTGTTGTTCCCATTATCATTATAACCCTACCATCACCATTATCCATCACCGCCCGCCGCCGCAACCATGAGAGTCCTGACATCCTCGATCAAGACATCTTCTTCCCCATTAACTCCGCCAACTCATCCAACAATTCGACCGTTTCCACGGGACTCGCAATCCACGCCGTAGTCCCCACGCTCCTGGCTCTGAAATCGTTCGCCCCGGCACTCAAGAACTGATCGCCCACATGCAGGGTATTCTCCCCCTTGATAACTCCATGAGGACCCTCCTTCTGCGAGAACCACCTTTGACAAACAGTAACACCCCAGCTCTTATCGCCAATATCAACAAACACATCCCTCCCACCATTGAAGGCGCAGAACGGCACTCTTCTGCTCCGGCCCACGGTACTGAGCTCAAGGATCTTTTGCACCAGCAAAACTGTCTCCTCCAAGCTCTCGCGCGGGATACGGATTTCTGGAGAAACGGGGATGATGCCGACGGCGCGGTCCTTCCGCATCAACGTGGCAGGCAGGTTGAGCGTCTTGATGCAATCGCGCAGCGCGGCCTCGGCCACGTCTAGCAGCTGGGCAATGTCCTGCTCGTTCCAGGCGGCCATCTCGGGCGTGAGCCAGTGCTGTCGTGGCACCGGGGCGAGAAGGTGCGGCGAGGACGAGTCGAACTCGAAGAGGTAGTTGGCTTCACCGCCCATGACGACCAAAGACTGTTTTTGAGCAGGGGTGAGGTCGGCGCTGTTGGCCATGGCATCAAGAAGACCGTGCAAGCGCGAGTAGTAGCGGTCGGCGGTAGTGTAGCCTGCTGCGGTGACAATGCCGATTTTGATGTTTTTGCGGAGAAGGTCTGTGGATGGAAAGGGGATAATGTGAGCGGGTCTGTTCAAGTGGTTACGGTACGGTTACGTGGCGGAAGGTAAGAAGCAGGAATTGCCAAACGGGCAAAGAGAACTGAGAACAACTGCACTAACCTAGTAGTCGGGGAATCACAGGACTAGTAGGTTCCAGACTCTGGCCATCGTCGTAGAGCGTCACGTCACCATCAAAGGTAGCGAGCTGGAGAGTTCCGTAAGTCGTCACAGCCATTATCTGGGCCGAGTTAAGGATCAAGCGGATATCGTTGAAGGACGGCGACACAAAGCGGCGCGATGAAATGTAGCGCTTGTTGTCCTGAAACTTGAATGCCGCTTCGAGCGGTAACCGCGTGAAGAAGGGCCCGATACTGGGGACCAGCAGCTTGAGCTTGGATGGGAAAGGGTTCTCGGCATCGTTTTGGTGGGCGACTGATGTTTAATGGTTTGGTTATTAAACGTTACTAGATCAAATAGGGCTAACCGAGTGAGACCGGGAATATCTGCTCTGCTTACTGTGGTCATCGATCATGGCTTCGATATCCCGGAAGATCTCACTGTATCGCCTGTGGGCTTCCTCTCTTGTCTGAGAAAGCGTATCGACACTTCTGTCCGGATCTTCAAGAACACCATGGGGCTGAGAGTAGAGGACGAATGGGACGGCTAAGAGCGCCTTGATCCACTCTGATATGATTGTTAGCTAGAGTACTTCATTTTCACATGCCTCTTCTCGACGGAGGCAACTCCACAGTTGCTGATGTGAATGGGGTAGCCATCGTTACGCGGACCCGTAGACTCTGTCAAACGGGCGGGTAAGAACATCCAGCAACTAGGGGGAAGTGATGCCATAGCTCAGTCCGTAGGTACATTAACAATCTGGCGAAAGGGCTCAAGCTGTACCTATAAATTGATCCCGTCTGTGGGTTTTGAGGGCATCTATAAGAGAGAATGGTTAGCTGCTGGTAATTTCAGCGATGGGCAAGAGCGGTAGAACACACATTCAACACGGTATCGTGTGGTCATCTTTGAGATGTGAAGTGACGGGTGAGGCTAGAGACGGGGAGTCTCGAGTTATGAAGAACTATGGGAAGAGTATTATGCTGTCACTTTCTCTTTGTGGAATTGGACGACGGTGACGGCTACGTGCTTGCAGCACAACAAGTGAAAGTTTCTTGGTGGTATATAAAATCGCTGTGTATGCTTTACTTTGGAGCAGATGGATGACAAACGGTTGAACTCGGTGAGCGGGAGAGATGAAAAGAGATACAAAAAGAGAGGTGTGTAAGGTATCATGTACGGGATATGTATGAACACCTCAGCTTCGGTACGCTAGTGACTCCGACTTTCCTTCCATTCATTTGTCACCGCGAGGTCTTTCTTGGCAGGTGCCGTTGGCTGCCGGCGTGGACAGCGGCGTTGCCCGGATGCACACGGCGCCGGCCAGCTGACCTGCCTCCACCCCTGTTACTGGCGTCCCCGGTTCCGCTCTCATTCAAGCTCCCATTCGCGACTTCTTAGAGATTGATTTGACTGAATTCCCGTCATGTCACTGGGGAGAGTCAGGGCAGCTATCGGTAAGCTACGACTCCAAATCTAGGGGTAAGGCGGGGCTTCCCCAGCATGACCTCTAGAGGTACCCATCTCATGGACCCCGCCGTCTGCCTTGGCATTCCCATGTCCATTCAGTTCTCCAAACACCACACGATCTAACAGCGAGTATCCATGCAACATTCCACAAAGTCTGAAAAGGGTCGAAATCGAAACAATATGTCGACAATACAAACTGGGACATTTACAGATAAAGCTAACTGCCGGCATAGCTGCACTACATACATGCATGACAAGAAGACGACGAGAAACCAAATCATAACCAACCCAAACCAACCCAGACCAGTTTTGCAGCCTACCTAGTCTAGACCACGACATTCAAGAACCACCTAGCACCTAGCACCCCGTCATGCTGGCCGCCTCGGTGCATGTCGAGCAGCCCTCAGAACACGTCGTGGCACACCCCTGAACGTACACCAGCGTCTTCACGGTACATCCGCACGGCACGTTCAGCGTCGACCGGACCTCGCACGTCGGCACAGGACAGCGCATCGGCGAGCAATCGGTTGGGCTGGTCGTCTTGGTGACCGTGGGACATGGCGTCGTCGTCGGGGGGGCTGGCTTGCTGGTGGTCTTGGGCGGGAGGGTGATGATACTCCAGCTGATCGTGGTTTGCGTGTATGTCGTTGACGTGCTTGATGTGCTCGTGCTTGCGTTACACACGGTAGTCCTCGTGCTGGTAGGCTTGGGCGGCGGCGAAGAGGTGGTCGTATTGGTTGAAACTCAGGTTTGCCATGGCGGCCAGCGACAGGAGGAGGTGGTCAAGGTGGTCGAGGTGATAATTGCCCGCGGTGTCAGCACACTTGTCCGGAACTCGATGCTACACCCTCCGTGTGGACAGTTGCCTCGCAAGGGACAATCAAGATCGCCGTGGCTATTGATGCCGGACATATGGGAAGATGTCGCAAATTTCTTGACATGAGTTGCGGAGGCATGTCAGGAGGTCATTCAAGTAGTTCGTTCGCCTCACGCCGGATTTGTAGACGATCAGGCTAAAAGGAAGCTGAAGACCATTGCTTCGTGCTTTGTAATGTTTCCATTATGCCTGTACTATGGCATCGACGGAAAATGCGGCTTATTACCCGTCATCAACGGTCAAGATGAAGAGCGCATAGGTAGGCAGTTTGTCGAAGGCCAAGAATCAAAAGCAGGGTCACCTAACACGCCGTTCACCTTCCAAGGAAGCGGCATCAAGCGGTGACATATGAATCGATACTTGTTCACCAAAAGTGCTATGATAGTTACTGAACGTCTGACATCGCGACGCGATGTTGTTTTTTAGCACAATGAAACAAAAATACAAATTTATAGTATTATATCCGGTTCTCCTCGCTGTACTGTGATTCCCACCAGCAAAGCCCGCATTTATACTATACTCAAATGAACTCCTATGCGAGGTACCAGCCGGTCTATCTCACAATCAAGGCGATGCCCTCTCGCCAACGCTGCCGTTAACTGTAGGAGCCGGGGCTGCGTCAGTATCTTCAACCGGGCCGGCGTCATCCATCCAAGCCGAGAACTCATCGTCATCATTATTAGGCGCTGAAACTTCAAGCGATAGCGCTTTCACGTCTTCGTGATTTTCCTGGCCTGTAGTCTGCGTATTACGGATTGATGGCGTCAAAGGCTTGGGGGGCGATTTCGAACCGACAGGTCCTTCTGTCGCAGAACTGCCAATTCCACTTTGGTTCTTGCTTTCAACGGTGTCTGATGAAGGCTTCATTGGTGATGTTTCATGGGCCTCGCTCATGGGTGTAGTCGGTTCTGACTCCGCAGGAGCCGCAACTACATGTTCACATTATTTCCGTCATCGCCGAGTTGCTGCTCAGCTCGGTATTGACGACGTTTTGGGAGAGGGGGAGGTGGTACAGGGCGGCGTTCGGGTTTGTGATCATGGTCTTCAGGCGTGCTCGGTTTATGTTGCTGCAGTGATTGATCTGGAGGCGATATCGGTTTGCGCCTTGGGATACTGATGGATGTTGCCTTCAACCTTCTGTCTGGCATCGGAAGTGGTGTTCCTGGAGGCGGAAGCGGCTGCCCACGTCCCATAGGCTGATTCAAGTCCAGCACCGATGGATGATCATCGGTGAAGGAAGCACTCCTACCCGATGTCCCATCGTTGTTCGAGTGTCGTTGGAACGCATTGAGCCCCCAACGCTTGGCAGATGCAGCCGCGTTGGTAACAAAAGCAGCGGCCAAGGCAGTCTTTTTCGCAGAGTCTGGGTGATTTGGCGTGGGTGCTCCTGCTGTCGATGATACAGTATCTCGCCGGGCAAAAATACCCTTGATGGTCCCAGTTTGACTTTTCACAGACCCCCTTATCGACGAAGCTGGAGACCTCGTCCTGCTTTCCTCCTGGCTGCCTGCGGATGTGGCTGTGTTCCGTCTTGCCTGGTTCTTTTTATCAAAATCCTGCAAATCTTTTTCCGCATCCACAGCTTCAGAGGAAGAGGACCCGGAAGACTGGTCTGATAACTTGGGTATGACGGACGGCCTCAGGGGCGAGTGAGGCGGCTGTGGTCGTGATGGAGAATGTGCCTGGACAGACAATGTTGCCATCGCTGATGCAGCAAGGCTTTCGTCCGGTGGTGACGAGGATGGTTTGAAGACGTCAGCATTAATGGCGTCTGTGCTAACCGTTGGCGTCGGAGGATGAGTGATCGAAACCACCCGAATCGGAGGTGGTATACAAGTTTCACTCCTCGTATCGGTCTTGAGCTCGTTTTGATTGTTCGTGCTCAATGAGGTTGTAGATGCAGAATAGATAGGGTCCCCTTTCGCCTTCGTTGTCATCCGTCCGAAAAGGCTAATTGACGGTTTCTTGTCGAGAGTGGGCATGCTGTGGCTTTTTTCCACGTGCGGCAGATCGGGTTCGTGAACGTCTTGAGTACCTTCCAATCGCTCCACCTCGTCCAAATCGCCTTCTTGAGCCGCAGCTGTCTCCAAATCCATGGTTGAGACGACGGTGTCATCATGAAAGATACCACCTCTCCACTTCTTGTGCTCTGTATTGAAAAAAGGCATATCATCCCAGAAGGGTAAGACAAGGGTCTCGGCCATGACCTCCTTGATTTGCTTCTCGATCTGGCGGAGAATAACGGTATAGGTAATCTGTCTAGAGCTGACAATCGGTTCGATTGTCATCTCCATCTTCGGTGCCTGTTGGAAAGAGAACCATAGGCGATTACTGGGTGGGGGCTTGATTTTGAATAAGATATGACCTTCGAGTTTCCGTACAACCACGGCAAGGACGAGATTGACCTCTCGTGCTTTGAATCGCGCGCCTAGATCAATCCTGGCTGTCGCCGCAACCTCCAAGCGGAAGTTGCCAGTGTATCGTACATCTGCCTCAATGCAGCATTCACCCTCAACGGTCAGATCCCGTAGCCGTGGATTTGTGATAAAGGGCGCCGATTCTCCGGTATCAATACCTTTGATAGCAATGTTGGATAGAAATGCCGGCCTTTTAACTCGAGAGATCTTCTTTGTAAGCTTCTCCCGTATTGCGTTCTCAATGTCCTTGGTCTTGTAGATGCCCAAGAAGACGCGCCCAATCATTGCATTGAGCCAACGTGTTTGCATGTGTTCTTCTGACGAGTGCAGTCTCTGTACCAAGTTGATAATGTTCTTGACCTCAAACTGGATAGGAGACGGAATATCGCTTTCCGTGTCCAAGGCCTGCTGTTCCTGATTTCGTAGCAAAGCAAAGTAGAAGTCTTCCTTCGCAGAGCAATTTTCGGAAAAGAGGTAAAAAGGTTTCGAGACCTGACTATCCGGTCCTATTTCTAGCCCATCTGTCTTTCGCGAGAGACGTATGGCGTTGCGCTTGATGTACAGCTCGCCCTCAGGAGTAACTTCCTCGCCAGAGTATATGCTGACTTCATGGTGCGCCAGCGCCACAACGTGCCGTACTTCGAGTTGTTCGTCATCGTCAAAGAGCATGAGATGGCCGTGTCTGTCACGAGCGTCAGAATCCAGGTCGTATTGAAAGTCAGAAGGATAATGTTACGCACCTCAGGACAACATAAAAGACATTGCCGGCCTTCTTAGGGCGTTGGCTAGGACCGTTCTTGTGGTCAATGGGACTAGGACCGGTGGACTTGCGATCGAAGATACTCCGATACATTGTCTGGTAGACACTGGGACTGGGAGCGGCGACGGTGGTGGAGCCGACAGGTGTCGACCGCTCGATAGGCTTCGCGTTGATTCCCATGGGCGTATACTCGCGGCAAACTGCAAAATATCCAGAAGCGACACCATCGTCGTGATGGGTCACCCGGGGCTTTCCATCCTTCTTTTGCTCCGCCTTGAGCGCATCAAGATCGTCACCAGGCTGGATCAAGTCGTCGGCTTCTGGGTCGTGGGGCTGGACGGCATCTGGGCGGTAAGGAAACGTAAGGTGAGCATGAAGTAGAGCGCAAGCCACCAGCAATGGCAGAAAGGTAAGGCCTCCGAAGAGGTATATCAACAAGAAGACGGTCCAACTCATGGTTGTATATTTTTTTCCGTCGAAGGGAGATTGTCCACTGCAGTGTTCGAGTCCAGGATGCGGTCATGCAAGATGTGCCAAGACAGGAAGGACTGCCAGTGGTCGCTACTCCTCGCTGTTCGGTGTGCCCACCGCGCTCAGGTTGGCTACCTGCTCAGCAGCTCAGAGCAGATGGTTTGCAATTGCGGCATCGATGCGGACTCGAACTCAGGGCTCGCAGTCGCAGTTGCACGGCGAAGTCATGAGTCGTAGGATTAGTTGGGTTCGTTACGCGCGCTTTCAGACAAACAGGAAACGGAAGCGGAAGTGGGCGCGGTGGGTTTGAGGTGGAAGGAACTGAAAGATGACGGATGGCCTGCAGCTGTGTTGAAAAGGCCACTCACTCCGACGCTGCACTGGACGGCACGGACGGGACACCAAAACTCAACGGTAGCCCGGGAATGTGACAGGCCAGAGAAGCCCAGAAAAACAACCAAAAACTGACTAGAAACTACACTACGTAGTAGTAGTGACAGAGCCAAGGGATCAGATGGTCGGTTCCTATTCCTGTTCCTGTTGGTGACAGCATCCTCGGTCTGGTTGTGTGCAAGAGTGCGTGTCAAACCACTTCCGGTTTGGAAGGGTCCAAGAAAGGTACCTAAAAGGTACGTATGTATACTACTTACAAAAGTACACTTTGCCTACCTACCTATGTACTGGGTTTACACCAGTAAGTAGTACTTGGGCAGGAGGAGATCCAGTAGTTTAGCCACATGCTGAGAGAGCCTTATCACTTCCCCGCAATATCCAATTGGCCAAATCTGTTTGATTTTGGAGCCACATGCCACCAACGCCTCGTCAATGTCAGAAAGCCTCAACGAGACCAGGCAAAATCCCTGACGATGCTCCGGCAGGCATTCAAAGTCTGGAGCGAGCTTGCTCGACATTCCACATGAACCTCAAACCCCACAGTGAATCTGTCATCGATCTGTGATGGACCGCCTCAGCCCGCTGCCTTTGTCCAACCAAATGATCATCATCATAGTATACAGTCCGAGAACATTCTTGAGAGTGGAACGATCAGTAACAAACAGGTAGATAACTGAAGCTCCGTTATCAAGTTTCATAAAACATGGACACTTTCAATGTAGCAAGGCTGTTGCGTTGATGCGCCTGGGGATGTATAAATGGCCCTGGTTGGGTATCGGAATTCCACAATTCAAATAATCATCAGTTGGCTCAAAAGATGTCATCTCTGCGTCCAGGTCGGAAACGGAAGCCCAGTATAACGCTGTAGTCATCTCGTTCTACTCTGATCTATCACATCTTTGGATTTGAAGACCTTCTGAGCGCGCTTAAATGCTCACAATACGTACTGGTAGCAGAGATTGGCCCGGTGAAGTGGTTTGTCACGTTTGCTCTATTTGCGTATCCCTATCAACCGCAAGATGCTAGGTCGAGAAACAGAGCGGCCGCACAGCCAGACAGGGCTCGAATTGTTTGTCCTTCTGTGACTCGTCTGGCCACGGATTCGTCTGGCGTAGTCCATCCGATCACAAGTTGGCTCGAGGCTCAAAAGCACGTACACCTGATCAGGAGGAGGCGCATCGAGCCGGTTCTCGTGTGTTTTGGTTTTGGTCATGGTCATGCCACTGGTATTTTTGATTCCTATAAGCACTCCCGCATCCCAGACCAAAAAATCCATGCAGGATATCTATCCGTGTCGAACGCGATGAACCCCATGCAGAGAAAAACCAAATACGCCAGGTCTACCACCAGTCCTATCCCAAGAGTACTTTAGATAGTGGTCTCGTAGGCGACGGGGGCAACGGTCTCGGGCTTGTTGTCGACGACAGAGATGGTGCGAGCCTCACGGGGGAGAAGGGCCTGGCGCTTGAGCTGGACGGGCTTGCCCTCAGCCTTGGCCTGCTTCTTGAGCTCGGCGTTCTGCTTGACGCGGCGAAGGAAATCGTCGCGGGAGCGGGAAGGCTGGATGTGCTCGATGCGGACGTTGATGCGCTTCTCGATGTAGCGGTGCTTCACCTTCTTGTAGATGATGATGCCGACAGCGGACTTGGTGACGTTGTAGATGACACCAGTCTTGCCGTGGTAGACCTTGTGGGCCATACTAATCGATTTCCAACGTCAGTTTCATAGCTCGCCCGTATTTTTCCCAAAAAGTCCTCGTCGTTCGCATTCGCATGTGCCCCTCCTCTTTCGAAATTCCGATGTTTCAGAACCCCAACATATTCCGCATCTTGGTGTTTGTCGCAATTGTAATGGCCCAAAAAAAATAAGAAGCGTGGAAATGATCGTCGCTTACCCCTTCTGGACAGCACCGTTGACCTTGATGTCGACGATGTCGCCAACCCTAGCAAAAAGTTAGCCATGACGTCCCAACTACCCCAATTCGTCGCTGTCGCAACATACTTGTACTGCTTAAGGTAGGTCGAGAGGCGGATCATACCCTTCTCGCGGAAGTTCCGCGAGAAGGCGTATCTCGTACCAGCACGGAGACCTGCGGCGTGACCCATCGTGACGATTCGGCGTGTATGGGGATGCTGAAGACGGTGGTTGCTGCGGGCGTCAAATTTGGACGACGAATTTGTGTGCAAGCAAAACTAGGTCTCGATTTCCCGTTGTATGACTAAGCGAGGTGGACAAAGCTTGGGCCAACCACCAGCCTGCCAGCGTTAGGGCAAGCGGATTTGTGCCGGCAAGGCTGGACGCACGGGCCACCACAAACCCTCCTCCAAGTGGCCCTTTGATTTTCTTACTTTGAGAAAACGACTTTCGAAACTTTTCGCTGCCAGTCGACGATCTTTTGAGAAAGCCCCCAACAACAAGATGGCGCCTCGTTCTTACTCGAAGACCGCTAAGGTCCCCCGTCGCCCTTTCGAGGCCGCTCGTTTGTGCGTCTAAGTTTGATTCCGAACTCCTTTTCGACGGCCTCTGCGAAGCGACAGCAATTGCAGCGGGAGCAACCATCTCCATGTTCTTTGCGCGTGCGATCGCTCGCATGCCTCAAATCACCGGCCACTGAGCATGAGCTTGACTCTGCTTATGTCGATTGTGATCATACGACTAACTTTCGGACCTCAGGGACTCCGAGTTGAAGCTCGTTGGCGAGTATGGTCTTCGCAACAAGCGTGAGGTCTGGCGTGTGCTCTTGACCCTCTCCAAGATCCGTCGTGCTGCCCGGTAAGTTTTTCTCGCACCCCATCCAGTTGTCCAGCAAACCAGGCCCCGAAATGGGCCTCAGGCGCTGGGGAATGATATGCCAGGGAATCGCCCGATTACTAACTTCTGCCACAGTCAGCTTCTTACCCTCGACGAGAAGGACCCCAAGCGTCTTTTCGAAGGCAATGCCCTCATTCGCCGTCTCGTTCGCGTTGGTGTCCTTGACGAGTCCCGCATGAAGCTCGATTACGTCCTTGCCCTCAAGGCTGAGGATTTCCTTGAGCGTCGTCTCCAGACCTGCGTCTACAAGCTCGGCCTCGCCAAGTCCATCCACCACGCTCGTGTCCTCATTCGCCAGCGCCACATCCGCGTCGGCAAGCAGATCGTCAACGTCCCCTCTTTCGTTGTCCGTCTCGACTCTCAGAAGCACATCGACTTCGCCCTCACCTCTCCCTTCGGTGGCGGTCGCCCCGGCCGTGTCCGCAGAAAGAAGGCCAAGGCCGCCGAGGGCGGTGAGGCCGCTGAGGAGGAGGATGAGGAGTAAATTTGAGGCGCCTATCTTGGTGGGCTGGGTTTCAGGTGCATAGCATCGGCTAGTAGGAACACAGGTCTTGGAAGGTTCATTTTGCCTTAACCTACATTATGATCACGGTGTCCATGTAGTCAGGGATCAAATGCATGCACGGTTGGCACTGAAATATGTGCCTGGAAGCTAAGAAACCTCCGGATCTGAAGGCACCACCTTTCAAGTCTCAATTATACACCATCTTCTTGTTGCATGCTCAGAACCGCCAGACTTTGTTTTTGTGAAGCTTCTCAAGTGCCCCGTCTTGGATGTGTCAGCCGATGTACTCGCGTAAGTTGCTTTCATGTCTGGATTTCTCTACGTCATGTTTTAGTTCCGCAGGCTACTCCAAGGGTACACAAGGTATGATCGGTTGGGCACTCTCAAGTTGAGGCACTGTGGTATCATTTTTAACATCAAAAACTGTTGGTCATACTGTTTACTTATCCCAAGCATCCGCCTTCTCGCTTGCAGCTATACCTGCCTCTCCTGTGCAGTAACTGTTCTTGACAAATGAATGACAGCAAGCGTAGCCCCATCTGAAGTCTGACCACCAACTGCCCCAAACAGACGTGTGATTGTTGATGTACACGTCCTCGAGATACTTGGACTTGCCGACCTTCTTCGGTGCCCCCTTAATCAGGCCGGCCTCGTCATACTCCACAAAGGTCTCGCTTTCCTTAATGGTTTCTCGAAGTGCGTCTGAGATGACGGGCTGTGTGCCATATTGGTTCGCCAACTCTTCCGCTCTCTTCCTCCGCTTGGCCTCGCGTTCCTCAGACTCCTTCTTGCGTAGGATCTCACCAGCAGTCGGGTTGGCTTGCAAATGCAGGCTGGTATCGCCCGATCGCTCCTGTGCCTCCCATGCATAACGCTGGGCCTTTTCGAATTCCGCTGCTTCGCCAGAAGCACGGAGGAAACTTTCCTCAGCGAACAAGGCGGCGGACTTGTCGGCTATAGCACCGGCGTCGACGAGGGCGCGCTTCTTGGGGTTGTACTTGGCGGAATCCGAGTCCAAGTTCAGAAGGTACTTCGCTGTGTCCTCGCGAATACGCATAGATTGTTTAGTCGTAGCACGATCGCGTCCCATATCAGATTCCTCGTCGTACTTAAACCCTGACTTGTCGTCTTCCGGACCATCTGCCCCCTCCCCATCCGGCGTCTTCTGGTCTCCCTGTAATGCCCGTCGAGCCTCCTCCAGCATGTTATACTCCTCCACCACCTCCATGTACTGTTTTGGATCATACGCGCTGTAAACATCTCGCTTCGCCTCGTAACCCAGCTTCACGTCGCGCACGATCCGGTCCGCCTGGATATCCTTGCCCGTCGCTTTGGCGCCGAATTTGCGTGGCCGTTCGAGACAGTCTTTCTTCTTGTGGCCCATGGCGCCACAATTCTCGCACGCGCCCTTGACCCATTTCGTCCTTGCCGGACCAGCCTTCTTACCCCGGGCGAGAAGTGCGGCGGCTTGGGCGGCTTTGTCTTCCTCCTGCTGCCGCGCACGCTGATGAAGAAGAGAATCACCTTCTTCATTATCCAGACCACTGACATAGAAGGGCTGTTTGCTGATATATGACGGGATGTAGATGTTGTCCTCCTTGCGGGCGGCGCCAGCGCCGGTCTCCGACTTGTCGGTTGAGCTTGGGGCAGCTGTGGCCTGCTCGCGTCTATTTGGTGGTGGGGGAGGCATGGTTACCTTGGTGTTAAAGGGATGTGATCCAAAGGCCCTAAAAGAAATGTACTGAATGAAAAGATAACTTGATAGTCTGTGTGTCGAGAGAAAAGTTGTTGGATCCGAGACTCGGGGCAAGTTCAGTTGCTTTACTCAAAGGTCGTCGTGGTTGGACGAGAGTTCTGCGGCAGGCATGCGGCCGGTCAAGGGAGGTCAGCAGCCAGTGCACCTTTGTGCTCTTTTGCCCTGAACCCAGCTGTCCGTCAATTTGTCATCTTCATCCCTAACCCCCAATCCACGGTACCTGCTCACTTCGATGATATTCTGTTCCGCATCATGATCTTGTTTCCGGTTTCATTGTCAAAAGGCGCTCAGTGTATCCGGTAGTCAAGGTGTTGTCGATCGTCTTGAATCACACCAAGTACACACACGTTCATCGACAGGACGGCGGCTCAATAAAAGACAGCTTTGACTGGAACACGCCGATTTGAGCCAGCGTCGCATCACGTGCTTTGGCGTCACTAGTACGTGTACAGTCGCGCGCGCTCGACGACTTTTGTGGCGCGCATGCCATCCTCAACCAAACAACCCGAAAAGCGTGTCTCTGAGGAATGAACGTCGCATCATCGGGCAGCCGGATAGCTTCATACTGCTCCGGAAACCTAAAAATGAACATCTGGCACCTCCAGCGGCCAGCATCATGGAATTTATAAGACTTCGACTGAACTGTATTGATCACTACCAAGCCACGCCAACCGGATATGATCCCCAGTTTGATCAAGATGTGCGCTTTTCGCGTTCGCGGAAGGCTGCCAAAGTCCCTGTAATTCGGGTGTTCGGATCGACCGACAAGGGCCAGAAAGTCTGCGCTCATATTCATGGTGCCTTTCCCTATCTGTATGTCGAGTATGACGGAAATCTAGAACCCAACAAGGGTGAGTGTTTCCTTGTTTCTACACATATGGTTCGCGCATACGTTCCCTTTCTCACATAGTTTTAGCCTACGAATATATCGCAAAATTGCGTGCATCCATAGATCATGCGTTAGCTATCAGCTACCGAAAAGATCCCATTCGCGATCGGCCCAAATATGTAGCACGGATTACGCTGACAAAAGGTATACCCTTTTATGGCTTCCACGTGGGTTATCGCTTCTATCTCAAAATTTACCTGTTCAACCCGGTGGTCATGTCGCGTCTCGTCGATCTCCTTCAGCAAGGTGTTATTATGAGTCGGAAATTTCAACCCTACGAGGCCCATCTGCAGTATCTCCTTCAGTTCATGGCTGATTACAACCTGTACGGCTGTAACTACCTGGATGCGGCGATAGCCACCTTTCGAGCACCTGTACCGAAGCATGACAGCAACATCGAAGGCCGTGAGACTGAACATCACTGGGACGATGCAACGATCCCGCCAGAGCTGATTACGGATGATTACAGCCTTCCCCGGGCTAGCCACTGCTCCCTTGAAGTGGACATCTGCGTCGAAGACATCCTGAATCGAAAGCAAGTCAAAGAGCGAAGGCTTCATCATGATTTTATCGAAAAGGAGCAGCCGGTGTCAAGCCAAGAAAAGCTGGTGCACAGTATGGCTGGACTCTGGACGGATGAGACAAACCGCAGGAAAAAGCGTATGGGAATAACGGACCCTGAAGTCAACCCTTTTCCTCCGGAAGTCTTGGTATCAATGTCTGCGGACCCACGTCAATCACAGGTGATGGGGTGGGTTCATGAAGCTGGGTACCGTGCTGGTATCCAACAATTGGTTTCTCAGGAACAGAACAACACAGATGGACGTCAGGAGACTTTCTCCAGCTTTGTGCAACCAGTTCCATTTGAAGAAACTATCAAGACCACTTTAGAGTCAGTGGAAGACTTCTACCCAGACAACTTGAGCCAAGCTCTGCAAATCGAAGCACAATTTTTTCACATGAATGCACAGCATCTCATCAATATCGATGTCAACGAACAAGGCATTTTTCAGCTAATACGCGAGCCACATGCAAAACAGACTCGACACGAATACGCGGGCAGAATCCCACCGGGGGAGCCTTTGAATGGTGTTGGAGAAGGATTTGGTGTGGGGGATTCAATGACTTATCGTATGGATGGGCGGATCCGTGTATACCAACCCAGAACTTCCATCCGTCATAAACTTCTGAAGATTGCCCAGACTTACTCTTCCAATCAACCAGCCAATACAGGTAGACAAGCCGGGGTTCTTGGTCCTGGAGAGCGACAACAAAGATCTCTCAAGCATCCCAGGCCGCCGGGAGAAGTTGATCATGGTGCACCTGCAAAACGTCAGGTGCTCCAAGCTGAGGACTCAAGGGAGTTACTTCACATGAAAGCCGACCCTCCGCAAAGAGCTTTGGAAGAGGCTCCGAGAAACGCCCATGAACAAACTCAAGGTGCAGGTCAGCCAGGGCCTCAGAGAAAGCTCCAAAGTGACCCTCCGGAAAGGGTTTACGAGGAGCCAAACAAGAGGGTTCACGAGGAGGCTCAACCAAAGGTCCATCGAAAGGCCCAGCAAAGGCCTCGGGAACATGACCAGAAACAGGGCCAACAGAAAATACAGGAACAAACTCAAGATCATGATCAGAGAGGAGGCCAGAAGGAAGCTCCAGAAAATTCGACATTTACGACGCCAGCTCGGACAGTCCAGCCAATGAAACCCAATAATCAGGATCCAGCAGGAGAGGAACAATCGGTGAATAGTCTGCAGGTCGAGCCACCAAAACCTAAAACATCTCAGCCCATGAAGTCTGCTATGAAGCAGAGCTTTGCACAAGAGTCCCAAAGCCGTACGATCAACTTTCCCGTCGTCAAAGATCCACAAGATCCCAACACAAGGGCGCGACTGAGCCAAAAGAGTGGTTCGCAGAAGAACGAGGGTAACGTCACCAGAAAGCAACTTGCCTTCGACCCTCAACCCACCATTTTAGGGCCATCGGCTCAGGCGAGGCCCGGTCAGACTAAACCCAACCTAAAATCGTCGTCCAGGCCCCTTGACACGGCCCCTGTGGCTTCGGCTCCGGCACTCTTGTGGAGTGGCTCAAAGAAAATGTTTGTCCTGAACAATAAACCTCCATCCCTAAGCGAAGTTCGCTGTACCATGCAGGTACATGGCCTACCTGATGTCATCTATCAAGACGCATATTACAGTAAGGATGAGGATGTTCCCTCCAGACCGAGAGAATATGCAGGCAGGGAATACCGACTTGATGGTAGCTCTGTTCCTTGGCTCCCCGATTTCGACCCGACTGGCACATCTTCGGCGACATATGGCGAGAAACCAACCTCCGGTGCCGACTGGCCGATGCTGGAGGCAATCTATGAGGCTCAACAAGAGGAATGTGCCATGAGGGGTTGGGAAATAGCAGATCCTCCTCCTTCTTTCAAGGAAGTCAGTGATTGGTGGACAGATAAACAAAAAGATCGCAATCCAAAACGATGCCATTTCACACCCCTAAAAATTGAAACCTACCGCTCCCAAGTCGCGGGCGTGACGCCAAAGAAGAAGCATGGCTTCGAACATCCCGAAAAGACAAAACCTGAAAGCGCACAGGATCAGGCACAGTACATGAGCGCCATGAGCCTAGAGGTGCATGTTAACACCCGGGGCAAGCTAGTACCGGATCCTGAAGAAGACGAAGTGCAGTGTGTGTTTTGGTATCTGCGGTCCGAAGTAAACGCTCTCCGCGGAACTCAGGCGCCGGATGATACGGCACGGGGCATTGTTGTTTTCTCAGAGGATGGGTCGCTTGCAGATAGAATCCGAAAGCACACATCCGTGCCAGTGGTTCAAGAGACAACAGAACTTGATATGATGGTCCGGATGGTCGAGATTGTGCGGAACCATGATCCCGATATCTTCACGGGATATGAGGTGCATGGCAGTTCATGGGGCTACCTTATTGAGCGAGCGAGGATAAAGTATGAGCTTGACCTCTGTGATGAGTTCTCACGCATGAAGTCTCAGTCAAATGGGCGTATCGGTAAGGATGCGGATCGCTGGGGCTTCAACACGACATCCTCGATTCGAATTACAGGACGGCACATGATCAACATTTGGAGAGCCATGAGAGGCGAACTCAATCTTCTACAGTATACCATGGAGAATGTTGTTTGGCATCTGCTACACCGTCGGATTCCTCATTACAGCTGGAAGACTTTATCGGATTGGTATCTGAGCGATCGACCGAAGGATCTGGATAAAGTTCTCCGATATTACCTGACGAGAACGCGACTTGATCTTGAGATTCTGGAAAAGAACGAGCTCATTCCCAGGACAAGCGAGCAAGCAAGACTGCTTGGTGTTGACTTTTTTTCTGTCTTCTCTAGAGGATCACAGTTCAAGGTAGAGTCCATCATGTTCAGGATAGCCAAACCCGAGAACTTCCTTCTCCCTTCTCCAAGCAGGAAGCAAGTGGGTGCACAAAACGCTCTGGAGTGTCTACCCTTAGTGATGGAACCGCAAAGTGCATTCTACAGCAGTCCTTTGCTTGTTCTTGACTTTCAGAGTCTGTATCCCAGTGTCATGATCGCCTACAACTACTGCTACTCGACCTTCCTTGGGCGTATCGTCAGCTGGCGAGGTAGAAACAAAATGGGTTTCATGGACTACAAGAGGCAAGAGGGGCTTCTTAGTCTACTCAAAGATTACATCAACATCGCCCCAAACGGCATGATGTACACAAAGCCTCATATTCGCAAGTCACTTCTTGCAAAGATGCTTACCGAGATTCTCGAAACTCGTATCATGGTCAAGTCCGGTATGAAGCAAGACAAGGATGATAAGGCGATTCAGCAACTGCTGAATAACCGGCAGCTAGCGCTGAAGCTCCTCGCCAACGTCACCTACGGTTACACATCGGCCTCGTTCTCAGGTCGTATGCCCTGCTCCGAGATTGCCGACAGCATCGTCCAAACCGGTCGCGAAACCCTTGAGCGGGCCATAGCCTTCATTCATAGCGTCCAAAAGTGGGACGCCGAGGTTGTCTACGGCGACACCGACAGTCTTTTCGTCTCTCTCAAGGGCCGCACCCGCGAACAGGCCTTTGAGATCGGCCAAGAGATCGCCGACGCTGTCACCAAGTTGAATCCGCGGCCCGTCAAGCTCAAGTTCGAAAAGGTCTACCACCCATGCATACTCCTCGCCAAAAAGCGCTACGTCGGCTACAAGTACGAGAGTCGCGACCAGACCGTGCCCGTGTTCGACGCCAAGGGCATCGAGACGGTCCGGCGCGACGGCACACCCGCCGAGCAACGGATCGAGGAGAAGGCGCTCAAAATCCTCTTTGAGACTGCCGATCTCAGCCAGGTCAAGAGTTACTTCCAGGAGCAGTGCCACAAGATCATGCGCGGCGCCGTGTCCGTGCAGGACTTTTGCTTCGCGCGCGAAGTCAAGCTGGGCACGTACAGCACGTCCGGTCGCGGCGGCCCGGCTCCCGCTGGCGCGCTGATTGCCACCAAAAAGATGAAGGAGGACGCGCGGGCGGAGCCGCAATATGGCGAACGGGTGCCATATGTGGTGATGGCCGGCGCGCCGGGAATGAGGCTGGTGGACCGGTGCGTGGAACCGGAGGAGCTGCTGGATAACGCACATGCTACGTTGGATGCGGACTACTACATCAACAAGAACATCATTCCGCCGCTAGAGAGGATCTTCAACTTGGTCGGCGCGAACGTGAGGACTTGGTATGAGGAGATGCCCAAGGTTCAAGTCTTGCGGAAGGTGGTGGAGGATGAAGACGCTGCTGAAGATGCTTCCAGAGGCCCACTACTGGGACTGCTAGGGGCGTCACCAAGCAAAAAGGGTACGGCAGCGGCAGAAGCAGCTGCAGCTGCAGCAGCGGCAGCACTAGAGATGGAAGATATGTTGGGAGAAGACGACGAGCTCCTCCCTCCTGATGTCGCAGCAGCCCAAGCCCAAGCGCGCAAGACCCTCGAAGCCTTCCTCAATACCACCATCTGCACAGCCTGCGGCGTCAAGATCAAGCGGCCGCTCGGGGTAGGGCTTGCGCGCGAGCTGGGCATGCTTGAGGAGGGCGAGGGCGCCGTGGACCGAGGCCTGCCGCTCTGTCGCCGGTGCGCTTCGGATCCACCCACGCTTATGGTCGAAATGCAGGCCAAGGTCAGCAGAGCCGAGAAAAGCTACGTGGAGATTATGAAGGTGTGTCAGAGCTGTGCGGGCTTTGCGTTATCCGAGGAGGTGCCCTGCGATAGCAAGGATTGCCCTGTTTTTTACTCGAGGGTGAAGCAGAGGACGAAGGTTACGGCGGTAAAGAGGGTGATGGAGCCGTTGATCAAGTTGTTTGGAGAGATGGAATTGGATAAGGCGAGTAGTGAGGATGAGGGTGGCGATGAGGAGGATAATTGGGAGCTGGAAGGAAGAGGTGAGGTGGTTGACGAAAGTGGTGTAGAAATGCAAGAAGACGCAGGAGTAAGGTATGAGGAGGAGAAAGTGAAATTCGAAACCATTGTCAAGAGCAAGGTTAGAGCCATGAGTGAGGAGTTGGCGGAGAGGAAAGAGATTCTTGACAACAGATTTAAGAGCCTGAAGGCGGCATCGTTGGAATGGTAGTCAAGCCTAGCGTGGTTGTTTGGGTCAAGGGGATTATATAAAAACTTGGTTTGTCCATTCTTACACTGTTGTTGGATATTCCACTTACTCCGTCAACCACCGGTGGCTTGATGGCTCATAAATTTGAATCGGTCGAAACGTTGTATAGTTGGGCCTGGACATCATCTGACCTTCATGCTACGAGGCACATGAACCTCAGAAACTCCCATTCCTAGTTTTTTGCGAGCCACCCACGTCTTTGAGCAAGGACTGCGGAGAAACAACACACCCAGGACTTTTGAACTTCCTCTCTTCTTTTTGTTTCGCTTTTCTTTTCAAATAATTTTTGGTCCTTACCTTTCTCTTCTTCATACTCTCTTTCTTGGAAAGGGTTCCACTTCACCATGGAAATGATGTCTGGTCATGGCTTTCCCCGGGAGAGTGTTTGGTGTCCGGTTTGTTTGCTCGGGGTTCGGCTGATTAAGTTGTTGTCAATATGAAGGAATCCAACCTCCGGTAAACCTTCATTTACAAGTTCTATGACCGTCATCCACGGCGTTCATCATCCCAAGAGACTAATTACATAGAGGCTTGACACATGGTATTGCCGCACATGGATCCCTTGACTGCGCTCTTCCAGGCTTGATCGGGAAATCTGGGAAATCCGCGGATGCGTAGTTTCAGTAAGGGTCTAACCGAGGTGTTGCATACTGTACACTACAATACACCCAGTAGGTTGCCGGCAGCCTTGTCTCCAAGCCATAGCTGGGTAGGGTAGGGTATCATATAGAAAGGGCATCAAGATGGTTTGGCATGTTATTGGTCGCGTCCCTGTCAACGGTATAAGTATTATTTATTGCTGCTCCGAGGGAAGAGGGTGGTGAACAGTGATGAGGTGTCCATAAGAGGAGCCGATATGAAAAGCCTTACCACAGAAACACGCGCCCAGCACATGGGATACAGGGATATATACATCAACCCAGTCTTGTTTGTTAGCGCGGGACTTCGTTACGCACTCTTTGCAGCTCTGTCGCAGGAACCGCGTTAACAAACAAACCAGGGCTGAGATATATAAAGACACGGGATCCTGGCCGTTGCTGGCAGCAGGTCGCTCGATGACGGATCTGGGAAACCATCATTCATTGCACGGACGGCGGGCCGGCGCCATTCCTTATGCAGGTACCATTACCATCCATCTCGGATGGTTCCGGCTCGGTGGTGTTGGCGAGATGGAGATGATGAGGCATAACAGGGGAACATTAAACCATCTCTCTCATCAAACGGTTGTGGATACTATACCTTTTTAAACAGGGTCCTTTTGCGAGAAACCAGCAAGTTCGTGTACAACAACTTCTTTTCCTTCACAGGTTATGGCGATGGTTTAGGGGACTCGCCAAGTGTGGATCCCAGTTAAGTTGACGAGTGGATGTAGCTAAATAGGGGTTGCCAGGCGAGCGCCAGGTCAGCAGACCTTGCTCGCTGTTGTGGCCGTTAAATCATGGTGTACTGTAGAAAGTGTTGGTGATGTCAATCCCGCCGTTGTAACAATGGACGTTGGGGATCAGAAGAAAGACAAGAAAGAAGATGAGGAAAGCAGTGAAAAGAAATGGAACGGGTTGGTGGTAGCTTGATATTTTTTTTTCCTCTTTGTGATAATGCCCAAGTGCCTACGAGCTCTCACTTTGCCTCCTTCTTTCTTTTCTTTTAGCCCGAAGTGTCTGAGTTGATGATGAGCTATTCGTATTGGCTTGTTGTGACGAGCAGGGTGTCCGCCTTTGGTCAAGTCACAATAAAGCCCATACTATAGCAGCGTTACGTCACACGCATGCCGTGGAAGGACCGCGGTCTTGACAAAGATCCCATCGAGTCGATGATAAGATGATCTGGCGGATTGGTTGCCTGAGGTGGTGGAAGGTCGCAATAACCCCACGAAATGTGAGGCGGTGTACCGTAGGACAGAAACATCAACCTGAATATCTACCTAGTGTACAGGTGAATATTCTGTAGAGTATGTAGGGAAGCGATTAGCGAGCTGCACCGCGCACATCGTTTGGCTCGTTCCCCTGCATTCGCGCCTTGGCAAAGGAGACGCAGCTACGGCACTGGTCCGAGAGGTCGGGTGTCAAGTTCAGTTCCCCAAGCTGGTTAGAAAGGGAGGGAGGGAGGACTGCCGTGGTAGCCTCGTGCAAGACGACGGCGACAAGTGATTTGACGCGGGGATGAAACCCCCCAAACCCGGAGAGAGCTGACGGTGCAGTAGTGTACTTTACATAGTATAGCGTCCAGCAGCAACCTCAATTCGTGCTCGTGAGATGTTTCCGGTGTTGCACTCCGAGACTCCCACCGGCCATGGACTGCTGTGGTCGTCCCTCCCTCATTTCCATTATTTCCGGCTCTTTGACTTCTCAGTGGTTAATCCTCTCCCCCCTCTCATTCCTGGCCGATCTGCGGCATAGTACGTGTAGTGTACAGTACCTCTACATAACACCCCTTCCTGGCCTTCCATGCCCGCTGGCTGATCAGTGCATGAGCCAATGTGGTGTCGAGAGGTGGAGATCGTGGATTTTGTGAGAATTGGCATGACTGCCCGCCGTTCCACTGGCCCTGGACAAACTGCTTTCCATTTCGACTCACGCGGAATCACGGTCGACAGTCGGTGCCACAACCTTAGCACTGACTGGCACCTGCAGTGCCCGGTGAGAGCGCCTCCCTGGGAGCTGGCTCTCAGGAGGCAACTGAACTGCACTGCAGTGACGGAACTTAAAGTAACTTGAAGTAGGTACCCATGTACAGATAGTATGTAGTGATATGGGTAAGTTTAACCCGTGGGCCAGGTCGTTGACCACACAGTGCTCACGAAGCGTTGGCTGTGGTGGCCCGTGCCAGGTACGTGACAAGGGGGTTTTACTTTGGCTCGCAACCGCAGTAAACAAAACTGTACATGGCACTGTGCATCTATTGGACAAGTGGGCCCTACAGTTATTCAAGGACTCCGCCAGTCGCGCGATCCAACCTGACCAGTGTGGAAAGGGAAGTGGATTGGAAGCCCAGTGGAAGTGGAAGCCGCCAGGCACACTGCAGCGCCATTCAGCGATCAGGCCCAGGCACACAGGCACGCCCCGACGACAAGGCAGGCGCACTGCACCACGGCAGCGGGCTCTCCCCCGTTTCCCCCCCTCCCCCCCCTTCCATCTTGTCGACTCGGACTTCCCTTGCACCACAAACTGTTGAACTGCGAGTTCGTCCCGTCCTTCGCATCATTTGAGTTACGACTGACCACCAGTGAGGGCCTCTGTGACAGCCAGCAAGCCGAACAGTCTTGCGCGCTGCTGGGTCCAATTTCCCTCTTTTTTTTCCCCTTTTCATTGTCTCCATCTCCTATCATATCTCTTCCGTCTCCGCTCCGACGGGATTTCCGTCTCAAGGGGCTTCTCTCCATCTTACCTAATTAAACCGTCCGGCTGCCGACCGTGTCGGTGGAGGGCTGCAAACTCCAACTCGCCCGACCGCGCCCCGACCGATTCTCTCCGCCAGAGCCAGGCCAATCCCCGGCCATCACACCGTGTTCGTGCTTACTTGGACGCAAAAAAGAAAAAAACATAATCGTGGAGGAGGAAAAGAGCGCGCGCGTGCGTGGCAAAGGGACGAGACGGATACAGCGCAAGCGCAAGATATACACTGCAAGGTGCGCAACCGCAGCACTCCAACAGCCCAGTCGATCATCGCACACTCCAATTCCTCCCACAGTCCACACTCCCTTCGCTTCCCTTTGCATTTGCACTACCGTGAGTGGGCGTACGCACATGTGCATAGTTGGCTGTTAGAGCTGTCTAGAGGCAAGGCACTACGTAACGTATTGCGCAGTGCTGTGCACAGGTCGCTGCACCTGGTGTCAGCTCTCCATCAAGTGTCGTCGTGCAGGCGTGGATCGATGTGTGATTTGCTAGCCTCGGCGTGTCAAATTCAATCGTTGCTCGCTTCCACCGTCCCCCTCCTTCATCACTCCCAATCCCAAGCAAGCAGGCAGCGTGCGACCGGCCAAGATATCCTATTTGCGGACAGCATTGTTGACGCAGTTGGGCCAAGTCAGCTCTCTCAGGTTACCAACCGACCAACATCCAATTTTCCGCTGGGATCCATCGAACGGCATTCATGCTGCTGTATCAAAGGGGACAATTTCAATATCCGATACAACCACATCCCTCCCTCCCCCAGGACGTTCGAGGTCCCTACTTGCACCTGTCGCGTGAATCCCAACCGACCGAGACCGACCATCCGGGCATCAACCAAACTTTATTGCTCCGATCTTTTCAACACCTTACCGGCTCGCCATAACATTTGTTTGCGCTTGCCGCCCGACCTACTGCTATTCGATATTTCCTAATCAACTTCTTTTTTGTCACTCCTTACTGTTGTCCGTCTTTTCGGCGCCGTCACTCTTTACTGTTGTCTCTTTCCCCCTTGTTTCTTTACAACCAGAGCCGACTGTTCTTTAATAGCATTCCGCAGGCAGCCGGGTCTGCCTTTCATACTCCGAATCACATCAGTACGAGCATTGGGCTGCCGACATCCTAGGAAAGACTGCATCCAGTGCATTTCGGATACGATACAAAACGAAAGTCGAACCGCCCTTGCGGTTGGGATACTGCATCCCATCAAGAAGTAATTGAGGCCTGCCTGTACGATGGCTTCGAGAAGAATGGCCAACTCTTTGGCACCCGACGACCAGGTCGCGGTCGTGACCGCCAGCGACCTGCACGATCCCTTTCTGAGCCCACCGGGACAAAACAACTCGCGACATTCCACTTTCGACTCCCAACTCTTCTCGCTCGACCATGGGGCCTCTGCCGAGCAAGTCAAACGAGCTCTCAAGGCTCACCTTCAAGATACGGAGCGAAGAATGGAGGAGGCTGGCAAACTGGGCACCGCCTTGGTACAACAGCAACGAGAACTTGCCGAGCGACTACGAGAGGTGGAACAGCTACAATCCGAAACCGAGATAGACCCCGATTTGCGCCAGAAACTGGCTGAGATTGAAAGGGAGTACAACGAGGTTGCCAGAGAAAGCGCGCGTGCTTTCCTGCCCAAACAGCGAGTTCCCAGTAATGACCCGGCTCAGGCTTCTCC